ATCGCACACCCCACCGGCACAGTGGGCGCCCACAACCTCGACAGTGTCCCCACATGCCAGGCCCCCTCACAACCCGCCAGCAGCTATGGCCAAACCTCACAACGCACCATCACCTCTGGAGACCTCTGAACATCCTGTAGCACCAATGGCAAAATACCTCTCAGAAACCATGGCTCCATGCACGTCTTCTTCTGTGCTTCATGATGTAATCAAACAGTTCTTTGATATTTAGTAAATGCACATCACGTTACATTACAGTTGTACTTTACTTGGAAGACGTGTGCATAAATGTTTCAAAATGTAAAGCTGTTGCTGTAGTTTTTTTTCTTTCACCCCTAATTTGAGACACATTTAATACGCAGTTGCATGTGAGTTGTCATATGTTGTTTTTGACATGTCAACATTTGCATTTTTGTAGGATGGGGGAGAATAATTTATTAGAAAACTCATAATATCTAATCACACTGCTGCATCCTCAGGTCTGTTTGGACAGTGTACCCTCCGTCATGCCTGTAGTCAAATCCAGCCTGTCTAAAGATCAGCAGAAGATGCTGCTCTCTCTCCTCGGTCATGTCAGGCTCCACCTGCTCTACAAAGCCAGCGTCCACGGTTTCACCGCTGCTGCTTTCCACAGCCACTGTGACAACCAGGGGCCCACTGTCATCGTTGCCTACAACGCTGCTGGGTTTGTCTTCGGGGCCTACACCTCTAAAGACTACAGCCAGAGTGGAGAGGCTGTCACTGACGAGGAGGCCTTCCTCTACAGCATCAGCGCAGGGGGTAACAAACCACTGAGAGTGGCCGGTATCAGCGGACAGTCTTCTTTCACAGATGGATCCACAGGTCCCGATTTTGGTGCTTTGGTGTTCCTGAATGGGGACAAACCTGAGGTCCAGTCCAAACCAGGGACAAGCTTCCACTTTCAGGCTGCAGCGATGCATGGAGATGATTTGAACCTGACGGAGTTTGAGGTGTATCGGGTTGAAGGTGTGCAATGAGATCAGGATATGTGCTATCCACATATATTCAGAACATCTTTTAAGTACAATTATGTTACAGGTAACTTATTTTTCACACGCAGGCTTGGGAGAACTCCTGGACAAGCCATGGAGGAACATCAAGTGGACTGCTGAGTATGTAGAAATCTTTGAGCAACATTTTCCATGACGTATGAACTCATTTAAAAGTCAAAAATAGGTAAAATATTTTAGTATCCACACAAGAAAAAAGAACAGGCTGTAGGCTCTGTGTCGTCGTAGGGTGTCTTGTGATAAAGGCTGAAACACCCGATGTTGAGGTGTCGGAGGATGGCTCTGCCGGGTGGTCACAGCTGAAACACCTACAGTCTGGCACAAAGCATGCTGAAACACCAGGGATTGTAACACTAAGTCCTAACTGCTGAAACTCCTCAGTTAACGAGTATCAGACAAGTAAATGTCGTCCATATCATTTGTGCTCACTCTAGGAAGAAGCAGCAGCTGATGAAGACCATTCAGAGCTATCAGCCTGAGATTAAAACAGTCCACCAAGCCAGGGTGTTGTTGGTGGGGCCAGTCGGGTCTGGCAAGTCCAGCTTCTTCAACTCCATCAACTCAGTGTTTCGAGGCAACATGACGTCCCAGGCCATCGCTGGTACAGCGGGGAAGAGCGTGACCACTCAGGTACTGGCGCAGGTTTTTCTGTTTGTGAGACTTAAATTTTCGAGTTCATATTAAGGTTTACATTCCTCGACTGCTTGTGATGTGAATGTAAAACTGATCGCACATGCTCTAACTACAGTTCATCCAGTTAAATTACATTCCATGCCTCTCTTGTAGTTCCGCACCTACACTGTCAAGGCAGGGAAAGGTGGTGGAGCTCTTCCTCTGATCCTGTGTGACACAATGGGGCTGGAGGAAAATGCTGATGCTGGTTTGGACATCGAGGACCTAGTTAACATCTACAAGGGCCACGTAAAGGATCGCTACCAGGTCTCTTACATAACCACCTACTGATTTACATCTTCGTGTAGCTGATTTAAGGGTTAAGGTTGTAGGATGCTTATGGAGTGCGTCTGCTTTATTTACTCCACAGTTTAGTCCCTCCAATCCTCTCCAGGCGGATGCTCCCAGCTATAAGAAGCAAACGACTGTCAATGACATGATTCACTGTGTCATTTATATGGTCGACACCTGTAAGGTCTCTCTCCTTACCCAGAAAATGCTGGACAAGTTTGCTACCATCCGGAAAAAGACCAACCAGCTGGGTTAGCAGTATAATATAAATAACATTTTTAGACAGATAAATAGGATTATTTTCACTTTACTTTATTCCCTTCTATTCTGTCTCTACTGATCTCTTACAGGAATTCCTCAGATTTTGCTGATGACTAAAGTAGACGAGGCCTGTCCGCTGGTGGCAGAGGACTTAAAGAATGTTTATCGCAGTGTTTACATCCAGAGGAAGGTACAGTTGTATTTCTTATTTTGCAGGAATCTTCCACAATGAACGGGGAATCCAAAAAAGGCAAACATCCTCACAGAGCTTGTGCAGTAAAATGCAAGTCTGATTTATATAGACGTATGCCAAGTTCTTCCCGAACTTCTCAAATTTTTGCTAAAATGTCTCATGCACAGCTGAGTAAGAGCGCATGGGTGCGCGCAACGGGCTCGTGTTTAAACATCTTGGTCTCAGACTTCGGAGAGTGACAATAAAAGCCGTCCTTTCATGTTGGCATGATACGCAGCCAGGCGCCGTTATTGTTTAACAGTGCTCAGCAGCGTCAGGGGGAAATGCAGCGAGACAACAACGAAAGTTAAGGCGCGAAAGTCAGACTGAGGCAGGCGGGGTGGGTCCAACAACCACTGACTTTCACCCGAGAGAGTTGTGTTCACATCTCGTAAGATTCTAAAGCCAAACCGTGTTCTTTTTTCCTAAACCTAACAACGCGCTTTTGTTGCTTAAACTCAACCACATGTGCGTGTTGGCTAAATGTAACCATGTGTGTTTTTTGTTGAAGGAAAAAAACGACAGTGTTGTACCGACGTAGTGCATTTATTTTGACAGAGACTGTATGTAAACAGTAAATTTCCTGTGAAAACGGAAGTGTATCTTGAAAGAAGACAATGCATGTAACAGGCAGAACTTGACATGGTGTCCCAGAACGTCAACAACCAACGCTCCCAGGGTTCCTTGCACGTTATTAAATGTGGTCCTCAATGACTTCAATTCATGAAGATCATTTGCCCTTTTTGGATTCTTCATTCATCATGGAGGCATGCGGAAAAAAAATCTGCACTAATTCAAGATGACATGCAGCGAGTGAGTTATTGATATGCAAATGGTTATTTTGTGGGTAAAGTATTCTTCAAAATGCTCAGAAATCATGTTAGGAGCAATGACGCTGGCCTGATAACGATGACTTCATCCATGGTCATTTCTTTTGCCGTCTTCCAGGCCCGGGAGTTGAGCGAGTCTCTGGGCATCCCCTTGTCCTGTGTGCTGCCGGTGAAGAACTACAGCGAGGAGCTGGAGCTGGACCAGGATACTGACATACTGCTGTTGACTGCCATGGAGCACACGCTCAACTATGCAGACAGCTTCTTTGAGAACCAGCTCACTGAGGACCAAGACGGGAGTGATCAGCAGGAGCTGTACAGATCCAGCGATCTTAACCGCCCAGGTTTTTCAGAGCGTCCTCGACCTGAAGTTGTTTGAAAAGATAGAGCATCACCATTTCCCAAACCTCATTAATTCGGGCTAATGATTATGTATTCACTTACTTAACTACTCACATCTGCGATAGAGAGCTTGTGGGTCTAATCTAAAAGTTCAAATCAATCAAACGATCAAATGATAAGGATTAGTGCACTGTATACTGGCTGCAATACGAGAATTAATGAACAAGAAGTTGGCACTATACGGTTTCCTGTATTGTAAAAACAGAGGCTGAAAATGCTGAGATCAAACTGTAAAACGTAGAGATGACGAAATATGAACCAAGATTCTGTTGCCTATTTCTCACTCTCACAAAATATTTCAGAGTCATTTTAGTTTACTGTTTGTGTAATTCGACATAATTTGTTACCAGCGGGCGGCCATGTTCTGCAAAGCTCTCATTAGGTTACCCACGAGCAGGAGTGTTTATTGGTGCGGCGAAGTGCATGCTGGTAGTTGTAGGTTTTCTACCTCTTGAGCAAATGCCACAGCTCTTTTTTCTGATTTTTTTTTTTTTTTGTTCCCAGTCATGCAGCACCAATTCCAAAAGTATTTGTCTTTCTACTGCATAGACAGTCTAGTTTTGGGAAATGGTCGTCTTTCCAGCAGTACTTTAAAAGCTTTACGTCTTGGTTTGTTTTTTGCTTGTTAGGACATTATGTGTCAAAATGCTTCGTTTGTCTTGTGCTTAAAAAGACAAACATTTGATCACACACACACACAAAAAAATTCAAGTTAATGAATGAATCAATAAAATGTATTTAAAGAAATGCATGGTGGGTTAAAAGTTATCCATTAATATATAGTTGCCTTTATTTGCCAGCATTATAACAGCTGAAGAGAAAGGAATCACGCCTGTTAATGTCTTGGTGGCTCATGCTAATCTATAATCTGTGGGGACACTGTTTGTTAACCCTTTCACATATAGTGGTTGCTACAGGGGACAGTTGTTTAACACCCATTTTCTTGTGAATGCATGGGTTTTGATGCTATAGTTTCATAAAAGCCATTGCAATGGACCCTAGTGCGTCTTGCTATACACTGCCACCCACTGGCCATGTGTTGTAATACAAAAAATGTTGATCACCTATCCTACTGTAATTGGAGACCCTTGCAGGTAAATAAAATTTGTTATCATCAAGTAATGTCTAAGAAGTTGTACAGTTAAAATATTGACATTATGTTTTCCCGCAGTGACTTTTTGGGCTGTGAACAAATTGTTTTATGTTATAAGAATGCAACTTGCAGTTTTTGTAACTACTTTTACAAGATGTTTATTTTTGTAGAAAACATTCATTGAAAAATATACATGGTTTAACAGGGGGAGGTGGTTGGGGGGTTCAAGGAGTCAGGAGGAAGAAGCTGAATGAGGTGTGGGAGGTGTAGAAGAGGGGAGAGGCTGAAGTGGGATTTTGACGTGTGGCAGACCCTACGCACGTCGCTTATGCTGTTGTGAGCTTTATAGTTGTGTGCTGGTGTGTCTGGGTCACTCTGCAGTTACACCTCCAAAACACTAGTTGGCGACAGGGTTTCTGTGAAGTTTAGTTGATTCAAAACACTTTACACATTACTTAAAAAGACAATTTCAAACAAGTACACAAATCAGCTTCACTGTAACTCGCAGCATTCACAGACACAGCACTTGTCTTTTGCTGGACACATTTTCCCCACAAATACAACATGCTAATGTATTTAGCACAAGCCTATGGCATTTTACATTGTATAAATTAGCCTAGCAGCTAGCGAACTTTCCTCTTCTCATATAAAACCAGGGACAACAGCAACATTTAACAAAAGGTGACGTAACAAAATTCAACTCCATTACAACTCACAAGGTTCACTGATAAGTAAGTTGTCTTATACTAAACACGTTTTCCAAACAAATATAACATGCTAACGTTGTTAGCACAAGCCTATGGCATTTTACATTGTATAAATTAGCCCTAGCACTGGATAGTATTGGAGTATATCAAAATATGTAAAGACTCTGGTTTATCATTGAATATATTTTTTTAATTTCACATAATACATTGATTTTTTTCCATTGGTTTATATTTATTCAGTTCAAAACTTAAAAACACATGCTGTCCACCCAAATGGACACTCCTTGCATGTTTACAAAAATGAACTTCAAATTTGTTTTTCATGACTAAAGAGGAATATAAACACTTACGAAAAAAAACTGACAGAAGTAGTCATAATTCATGTGTGAAGTGGAGGAGGAGGTTCAGAAGGAGAGGTCTTCTGGCCTCATCAGCCATGACACTCTTCTGCACACAGAGGTTTATTTTCCAAACCCAAGAAATGGCAGTTAAATATAAAGGGGGGAGCAAGCACACATGGGTTGTGAATCTAAAAGAAATAAACACAACATCAGTACCTAAGGCAAATTAAATGTCCATCTTATTAAGGATAAATAATGCTCTAAGTTAAACTAATCATACACAGGATAAACTAAAGAGAAAGAAACTCTGCTTACCAGCACTGCTGCCCCATGTGATGATGAAGGCAGAATGAGCGATATGGTGTTTGGGGTTTAAATAACGATGAGCAGGTGAACTCAATCTGATTAATGAGGAGTGAAAAAAGGTGAAAGTAACCAATCAGTTATTGAATCAGTGCTGAGAAAGGAGAGGAAAGGAAGTGAGGTAAAGGAAGTGAGGTGTGTGAGGAAAAGAAGTGTCAAAATAAAGGAAAAGAGGAATCTTAATTACAGTTTACATTTCCTTTTCTTCTTGGCAGAGTAACCAGGCACCACATGTAGCTGAGGAGTTTTGTAAATTCTATTTTTAAATGCTGTGACATCAGATAAGATAGATGAGAAGATGAGAAGAAAAAACAAACTTGACACACACTCACACACCTACACACCTACACACACCTGATTCTCGTTAAGATGGCTGGATTTTTGTCATCCATGACACGTTTCCTGTCAGCAGACACTTCAAGCTCTTACTTTTAAAACTAATTAACTTAAAGAAGCAAGAGAAAAAGAGGAGAATAGTGATTGAGTGCTAAATATAATAAAAAAAACCCTACAGAATACAAATAAGATTAAATAAAATAGTATAAAATATATACATAGTCTTGCTGCAAGGCAACAATGCACCACTATGCCACCCATTTAGATGCACTGTTATCCCACCGGTCACTATTGTTACCGTCAACATGTTCACTAATTCTGAACAAAGTTGAGTAATTGCAAATGCACATATCAACACTAGACACCTTAAAGATATTGTGTACACAAAATCTCTGTCCTATCTTTATGCTAACAAACTTTACTAACCTTTTGTTTGGGAGCTGTGATGCAGCCATCCTCGTCTCGTGGTGCAACCAGGAAGTAAATAGCTCTGGTCATGTGACAGTTTACACTAATCATGTGACACTGCACATATTTCATTGAGAGCCTTTGTCTCAAATGTATTGCTACATCATTTGGTAAAGTATTTACAGCCTTGCCATGTAGTCATCGGACTTGGCCCATTTGCAGCAGAGTGTCGGCTGACTCTGCTGTGTTCTGGCTCGATGGTGCCAAATGTGAACCAGCATTGGCCTGTTTACTTTTGCCAAATCTGGCCCAGATTTAGCTGTTACAGATTTGGACCTTTTCTGGCTGAGACACGGCTCCTGGATGAATTAGCAGCCTCCCCAAAATGTATTCTGGTCTGTTGATGGTTGCCAAATCTGGGCCTGATTTGGTGTTGTAGACATTCCTGACTGAGACACGGCCGCCAGAATCAGGACAGTTTATTTAAATAGGCCCGATTTTGGGGCGTCAATCATCCCGAGTTTCAGCCGAATCAGGTAACCGGAAGTGGCTAGACTTGTTTCTTCCTGCACGCCGAGTTTGGGCCCATGTTGGCCTGGGTCGTTCTGGCTACCCAGGTTATATCTGACCCATCACTATCACAATCACTGAAGACAGCATCTTTTAGAGTTTTTGGGACAACTGTAATGTTGTATGCATTTTCTGGGCCGTCACCTTCATCCTACCTGTCCAAACTTCACTCTAAGTGGCCTGGCCTGTCGATGGTTGCCAATTCTGGGCCTGATTTGGCGTTGTAGACATCCTGGCTGAGACGCGGCTGCCAGTATCAGGACAGTTTATTTAAATAGGCCTGATTCTGGGGCGTCAATCATCCCGAGTTTCAGCAGAATCAGGTAAACGGAAGTGGCTAGACTTATTTCTTCCTGCACGCTGAGTTTGGGCCGATGCTGGGCTGGGTTGTAACTGAAAACTTTTTTTGTGGTCACATTGTTACCAGGTGGGATGGTTAAATTAAAAAAGGATTGACATTAATCTGTCTAAGCAGACACTGTTGTCATTATACAATCAAAAACTAAATGGACATGATTGGATGAAGGTATTTGTTTGGACGAATGTCTTACTTGAACATGTATGACCTCAAACTCACATGGCTGTCAGATTCATAACAGTGGGAGGTTATTCCCCACTCAGCCACCAGATGTCAGTCATAATTTCATAAAGACTGTTGCCCAGTTATGGAAACTTGGGCTGTTAGGAAAAGAGGAGCTCATGTTGCACAACTGCGCCTGCACAGCTCAACATATTTACGCAGTTAAGTTGATTTTAATCGATGGATTCCTTTGGGATTATTAGATTTTAAGCGTATAAAAGACCAATGCACATGCAAATGCACATGTTTTATTATGCACTGTATTGTCACGCAGATCACGAAGTCAGAATGACAAAGCAAATGTACTTCCATATCGTGCAAAGCCATCACTCAGTGTGACCAAACAAACAAACAAAGCACATGACAGAGAGAGACGTTGGATTTCTTTGGAACCAATTGTAAAACACGGGTAGTTTCGGTGCCGCCCTCGTCTCAGCCCTGCTATAAAGACTGTGACGCAACGTTGCCAACAACAAATGCTTCCAACGCTTGTGCACAGATCCACTGAGGGAATATTCAAAGCGCTGGACTACTGTCACGCTTTTCTCACTGGGATTTAGTTTTGACTTGCAAACATGATTCCAGAGGAGAGCTATGGATCCATTGAGAACAGGTAAGATGTGTTCCTCGTGTTTTTTTTTTCCTCCTGCACTTTCTTCTGCTGTAGTTTCATGGCTGTGTGAGCCATGTGCATGGACATCATGTGCTGGACAGGAATGCGTCTTGTTCTTTGACCCTTGCGTTGCCTGAACTGCAGGTAGATTAGGTAAAATGCCACTTTGTGATCTTTAAGACTTTGCCTGGCTGGAGTGCAGATAATTTTGGCATCAAATACTTTATATAAGATACATTTAATTTGTAAACATGAGCATAGTATGGTTTAAAAAAAGCTATAGTTGCTTGTGCAATACTGTACATGCATGCAACAGCCTGCAGCAAGGCTGTGCGTGGACTATTGATATTCATATTTTTATAGACTTAAAGTTCCTTTTTATTTTATTTCAATAATCAAGTGCAACATAACTGCTGAAACAGATGGGATGGGATAATATATCAAAAACATCTGATGGCTTCTCTTGGACTTTCTCATGAGGTACATTAGGTACACTTATTTAAGCACTGCAGAGGCTGTATGACAAGACCAGTGTTTTCTTTTTTGGAATATAAAAGGTTGATTGTTCTGTGTTTCCCCCTCAGGATGCAGTCTGTGGGTCTGGCTCTGGAGGAGTTGCTGGTGACAGCTCAGAAACAAGACTGCCTGACTGTTGGCATTTATGAATCAGCTAAACTTCTTAACGTGTGAGTTGAAACTGTAAACTTTGGCTTGTAATATTTGTAACACACAAGTATATGCTTCGCTTCACATTTCAGGAAATAACTCCCATCCCAGACATGAGTGCAAGTGTCTGCCTTAAACTCATCATTTTCTCATTTTCTCCTTCCTTCCTCCCCAGAGACCCAGACAGTGTGGTGCTGTGTGTTCTGGCAGCCGACGACAGAGACGATGCAGACGATGTGGCACTGCAGATCCACTTTACTCTGCTACAGTCCTTCTGCTGCGACAGCGGCATTACCATCCTGCGAGTCTCAGGACTTCAGAGGCTCCAGCAGCTGCTGGGTGCTGTGGATGCAAACAGAAATCAGGAAGAGAATGGAGACCTTCACTGCATGCTGGTTACGGTATGTTGACTCAGCACAACAGTTCTCTCTTACGTAACTGGAGGGCCAAAGTGGAAATATATTAGTGCAGATTATTTTCATGCAGCACTTCAGCTGAAACGTTGCTTCATATCATTGGCTTTATTGAGTAAACTTTTATTGCACTCTCTGGAACTCTTCCTTGTGATTTGCAGGTTGAATTCGCCTTAAAGCCTGAGCATCAGTTTAATGTTGTGTTTGCTTCCCGTGCAGAACCCCCAGGCTGACCACTGCAGACTCCAAGAGGTGGGGACCTACTGCCAGGAGAGTCGACGCATTGACCAGTGGGTGCCTGAACTGGTCCTGCAGGAACGCTGAGGGTCTAGCACCAGCATACACCAACAAACAGGAGCTTTCTGGGTTCAGATGAACTGAAGGATCCATTGTTGCTCATGCAGGGACGGCCTGGAGCAGACTGGGATGGGCTATCCTGACTGATGACAAGCAGGAACCAGGGACTTCCTCTCAGCGACTAGTGAAACAGTCAGAGTGGAGAACGGTTTACAAAATCTGCTTTGTGCAAAAGATACAGACAGAAAAGCAGATTCACATCCAGGTCACATTGTTTTTACATCGTCCGTAAATCTAAGCTTCTATTTTGTGCTTCTCTTTGGCTACAATACAATGTTTTTGGGGTGTGACAATCAATAACAGGAGTAGTAGCATTGAAAGAAACGTGTCCACACCCCGATTAGTACCTGGAAGACCTGTGTGTTTGGACTGGACAGGAATGCTGTAATGAAACTGTGCCCAACATTCCTGTGTATTCTGTCATGGGAGAGTCCTTGGAGAAAAGGCGTGTGTGAATGTGTGGTATGCGTGCACAATACTTGTGTCTTTCTTTAGAAATGACTGGGCGGGCAGCGTGTGCGTTCTTGAAATGAGCAGCTGAACCTGCGGAGGAATCGTCACCATGGAAACTGAAATGGAAATGATGTTCAAGTTAAAGTCACACAGGGTTTATTGGCATTTCAGGGCCAAAAATAAACCGAGGGGGGGCAATGGACATGATGTTTCTGGTCAGAGGAAGATACAGAGTGAGCAGAATAATGAACTGTGTGTGATCTGATGGAAAAATGTCGGCTGTAAATTCACATTGTGCTGCAAAAAAAAACACAGTCAATATCTTTGTGCCTTCAGGAGTGCTGCTTTTTATGATCAAATGCTGTTAAAATAATATAAACAGTGCTACACTAGTAACTTATTGATTGTATCAGTTGTTTGTGTAGCTATTTATGATCTGTGCTCTGTTAACTAAGTCAATAAATTATGAGTTCCTAAGTGTTCGACTTCTTTATCAAGAACTTTGTGCTCACTTTTCAAAAGCCATGATTGCGTCATGGCACTTGAACTATAGCTGAGTTATGCAACTACAGTTTACATTTGGTTTGATGTAATGGGAAAAAAAAATCCATGCGCACTTAGGGCAAAATTGTCAGTGACAGCCTTGCAAATTATCTGGCAAGCTTTCTTGTTGTAGTAAACATTAGTCAGAGGGAGAAACCGGGGTGGGGACAGAAACTCTTTGTGTTGGAGCAAACAGGCAAAACAAGCTAATGCAGACCCACAGTCCCTACAAGTCAAGTAGCGGAGGGTGGGAAGTTTGCAGCACAGATGCAAGTTGCCTGTTCAGACTTATAATTTAATTGTTCCCATGCCCTTTGCATTCTGGTTTTTGTTGCATAATGAAACTAAACCTGCAGATGCATGCTCCAGAGCCCTGAGAGCTGGGGCATGTGCACATTAATCTCAGTGTAACCCCACCCATGCCATGGTATCTTCACATGATCAGGTAGCAAGATGTTCCTGCAACAGTGCAAGTGGTTCATCCTCCCCTCTGCCTCCCTCTCTCGCTGTTTTGCCTCCTGCTCCACCCTCCGCTCTCACATGTCTGTGCTCAGATCTGACTGTAGTGCACCAGAGAGGGAACATTCAGGCACATGGACCTCCCATTTGTTTATTATCAGCTGGACAGGGGAGTGGCTAGTGTGGGAGCCTGACTTCTGATTGGCTGTGGTTCTTCCGCCCTTAATCTGATAGGCTTTGACTTGCAGAGAATTGGAGGGGGGGCTGTGATTTGAAACTTGGAGGAGACTCGTGACTGTTGAAGCAGCGTTGCAAAGGGACATGTAACAATGACATTCCTGTCAAATGACCCTAATAGGAGACTTTACCTGGCTGTGCCCTTTTGTTTACTCTGTTCTTTGTTTTGTCTGGTGCGAAAACTTTTCATCTTTGCACTGCACACTATGTACCCGTTCGACCAGAGAACATGTATGTCCATGTGCATCGTGTATCTTTTCAATCAGTGTGAGAAGAAGCCAGAAACTCCTACACAGAGAGCTCAGAGAGAAATACACAGCCAGTAAACTGCAGCTAAAAATGAGCAGGAGTGAGTGTTTACAGCCGTGATGGTGCAGCTCTGTGAGACTGTACACACATACTGTAGTTTCTCTACTGATTTGTAAACAACATTCTTGTCAACTAAATACAAAAATAGCGATACATCTGACTTACTAATGGAAGTGCCAAAGTGGTTATGGTGTTGTCATTGCAGGATATTTTTATCCTCACACAGCTAAAGCTAACACATGGATGTTTAGCACCATATTAGTTTAGCATGCTGACATGCTTACAGTTGCTGATTAGCGGTAAACACAAGGCACAGCTCAGGTTCAAGAGGACATTGTTAGTTTTGGAGCGATTAGGTGATAAAGCAAAGTATGGGACACGTTAACATTTGGACCAGATGATGGCGATTGAAAAAAAAGTTTAAGGCAGACTTTGGTATTTTTGAACCCAGATCCTGTCTTCCCATGTTTTGTGTCTAAGTAACTAATGAAGACAACTATTTTTAAAATTGGTTGAGTAATATGAGAGACCACTGCAGCCAGCAGCCGCTAAACATGCTGCAATGCAATCCCTACAGGCAATTGTGCCCCTTCAATTTACGTCCATTAAAAGTGCTTGTTTTTGCCACTGACAGGCTCAGATTGCTATTATAAGTGTCGGACAACATTATGTGGGCGATCCATTAGACTTAAAAATGAGGTTTCAGAATGAGACTTCTCCTTGAGTGAATCTTGGTCACAATTACAAACAGACCAGTGAAACGTAAGTATGAACATTTAATTTCTCCGTGGGATCTTTTCCATAATGTTGTCGGACATTTAGACCAACAATCTGAGCCTGTCAGTGGCAAAAACGAGCACTTTTAGTGGACAGAAATTGACAATGCCAAATTAACCTTTGCTTGGCCCCGCCCCTTTGTGGTGGTCTGACAAGCTGTCGGAACATGCATGGTGCCCACACTGTAACCAACTGCGCTCCCTGAAGAAATATTATCATATTTTTGGGAAATGAAACAGTGATTCCAGAGAGAAGCAGACAGAGGGGTCTACAGTCTGTGTTTGAAGGATATATCCAGGATGTCAAACTGACTCAGCAGCAACAACAGGTTAAAAAGACAAAGATAGAAGCTAAAGCCTAACGCACAGAGTGTAAGTGAACCACCAATCAACTGGCAACTGAGACAGAAGACATTAAAGACAAAGGGAAACTTTGCCAATTTCAACTATCTGTGTTCTCACAGTGTGTGTGAGTCAATGGTGTTATGCTTCCCCACGTGCTGCCAATGCCGAGACCTCCACTGGTGGATGGGTGGGGAGCTCATCTACGCACTCTGCGATGACACCGAGCTGGTTGAATATCAGCAAAGTTTCCCTGCTTCCTTTCACTGGTTCCTGTACAGCAGGGTCGGTCTTTGTTTTACTGTTACAATCATTAAAAAGAAAAGGCAGCATGTGTATACATTCAGTAGGCTATATCTTCAGTAGCTAGCTAGCTAACCCTACACTTTTCAGGGTCTGATTTTGATTTTGGAACAGGGAAGAAACGTGTATCTTTTTCCAACCTCTCCAGGTAACGATCATTAATACATGACGTGCTCCAGGCACAATGTTAAACTTGAAATCTGCAAAACCTGCCTGAAAATGAAGGAAATTTGAGAAGATTACATTACAATCTATTGAGCACAGCTCCATAGACTTGTACTTGTCGGACCATTGTTGGAGCTAGCCAATGCTACACTATAACTGGCTAGTCTGCGTTTGAGGGGCAGGACTTAATAAAGGGTCAATTGCCACTGGGGATTACATTCCAGTCTCTGGTGTCTCTCAATACTGGACCAGTTTAAAAAACTGTCGTCTCCATTAGTCAATTAAGTGGGATTTATACTTGTGTGTTAGCTCTATGAAGGGCCTGTGCCATAGCCTATGCCGTTGTGAGCATTTAAACTTGTGCGGTGGTGTGTCTATGTCACTTTGCAGTTACACCTCTAAAACGCTAGTCGGCGGCGGGTTTCTGTGAAGTGCTGTAAAGTTTAGTTGATTCAAAACACACATGACTTAGTAGAGACAATTTCAAACACAAGTACAGAAATCAGCTTCACTATAACTCGCAGCATTCACAGACAAAGCACTTGTCTTTATCTGGACACATTTTTCCCACAAAGACAACATGCTAATGTTTTTAGCACAAGCCTATGGCATTTTACATTGTATAAATTAGCCTACTAGCTAGTGGACTTTCCCTCTACTCATATGAAGCCAGGGACAACAGCAACATTTAACAAAGGTAATATTACAAAATTCAGCTCCATTACAACTCACAAGGTTCACTGACAAAACAACTGTCTTATACTAAACACGTTTTCCAAACAAATACAACATGCTAACATTATTAGCACAAGCCTATGGCATTTTACATTGTATGAATAAGCCTAGCAAATAATGGAGATTTCCTCTGCTTGTCTGAAGCCAGGATAAATCATACAAGACTTAAAATGCCATTTTTGTGGAGCCTTTATTGTCTTCACAATTTATTGTTAGTTAGTTATAGTTAGTAAATAAATGCTTTGTTTCCACTGAGAGAAATGGTTTCAGCTTACAAAAATAGACAGGACATCTGCATTGTGACTTGTAGTTACATATCTGGGGAAGTGCATGTCAGGCTATGGTGTAGGGTAAGGCGTTGGTTCAACACAGATGTATAAATCCCGCTTTTGGCATAAAAACGTAGGAAAATTGGGTCTGGGTTGAAAAATACCAAAGTTTCCCTTTTTTACCCTGCAGGGGACATATATGTGTGTATCAAATTTTATGTCAATGAACTTGCATCTGTGGTTCATGTGAGTTGTCCAAATAGCTATTGGATTAATTGTGGAGACATTTCAGTTAATCCACAAATGTCAACCTGCTGGTGGAACTAGAGGAGAAGTCAGGGGATCACCAAAGTCTCAGGGTTCATACTGTAAAAACCATGAATGTTTGCATTTCATGGCTTTGCAATAGTCCAGTAGTGTTTAGATATTTAAGTCCGGACCAAAGTGGTGGACCAACCAACACGCTGACATACCATGCATACAAATTACACAAGAGCACGTGTTATTATATCATCTTTTTATTAATGTTATCTACTTCTCAATATCATCTTTTTAACAGCAATATCCACAAAATATTAACAGTGTGCAAGAAAACATGAGTTATGGCACATCAGAGAACAGTTACAAAAAATAGATATATTTTCTTCATAATCAATCAAGGCAAAAAGATACATATACTGTATGCATACACAGGAGATCAGAACACAAAAGATGAGTCTCAGGAAGGGCTCAGAGCCGATTCAGCGATGTTTGATTTCAAAGTCCACCAGTGAGGAGCCTCGACTCTCCCCACCTGACCTGAAATGAATTTCCCCAGGCTCGTTTTGTGTCACAACACCAGTGGATTTCCATCTCGAGCCGTGTGTTCTACTTTAACACTGTTCGTTCTGTCGATCTGATAACCCCCAAGACCAGCATTAACACAATATACGCCACTATAAGGCAAACTAACAACCAACCAATCAGACAAACTGTCAGCCACACCAGCGATATAGGCCGGCTGTCTCTGATCTTTAAGCCCAACCAGCGATGGAATGATTGAAAAAACAATAATGATATAAAATAGCATCTGTCAGACATCTCCAGGACAACATCAGTGTGTGTGTGTGTGTGTGTGTGTGTGTTCTGATGTATGCATGCTTGTTTCATGTTGTGTGAATCTCCTGCAGTTGTAATCTTCTTTGACTTTAGCTGCACCTTGCAAAAGACATTACAAGGGCCTACCTTTCCTTTCCTGAACACAAACAGCGAATCAGTTATGTCCTCAATTCTGGGGAAAATAAACTTAGATTATCTCCTACCTGTCACTGCAGCCTGCACTCAGGTTTCTTTTGATGAAAGCTCACCATTTATTTAGCCTAAATCAGGTCCAACCGTCTCTTCAATTATCTCGACAAATTAGATAAAGGGATTTAAATAATTTAAAGGAATAGTTTGACATTTTGGAAATAATGTTAATGAACTTTTGGCAATACTACTTTCATACCTGTTTACTAGATATGAAGCTACAGCCAGCAGCTGGTTGGCATAGCCTAACCTAAAGACAATAAATAAATAAAAACAGCTAGCCTAGCACTGTGCTGAGCACAGAGGTGAAACCACAACTTCTGAGTTGTGTAACAGAAGTTAGGCCGAGCCCCCAGGAAGTGTGCCAGGCAATTTTTATAGAGGCCAGTGGAATTACAACTTCTAGGTCCGTCACATGATGCCATTCAACCCAAAAAGACTTTTTTCAATAGAATTACATTGTGAAAGAGACGTCGAAGTTTTAGAGGCATCACAACCTCTGCAAAATTACTAATTTCACTAGAGGGATTTGATCCATTCAGTCCCGATAAAAGAGCCAAACCATTAAATAATTGTATTTCTGTTCAGGTTAGCAGAGAGCTAAACTTGAAATTAGAATTCGGCTGGCAGAAGTTGCTGCTCTGCTCACGAAAGTCTGTAGTGTCAGACCCCCAGGAACACTGCTCAGCCTTGCAGCCAGTGGCCACTTGCAGTACTGCAGCTAAAAAATCTCCTGCGGCCCAAGAAAAACATTTTTTCCCATAGACCACCGATGTAAAAGAAACATTTGTAAAACTGTTGACAGGACACCTCAAACTACAAACAAGGTCAATTCCAAATCTTTTAATCCATGGAGGTTTTGTATTTGTAAAACTTTCCTGGAGCCGAGAAAATCTATTTAAAAATCTGTGACATCATCATAATGTAAAGTCTATAATGTAAACACTACTGAGCATACTCAGTGGGCCGCGTGATGTGGAAGTAAACCTGGAAGCTAGAAACTTTTGGGTGCATGCGCCAGTTGAGCAGTTTATTGGACTGAATAGGCCCCATCTTGTGGTCTGGTATCTACTCCTTATTATATATCTGTGGCTTGCTCTGTCGGCCCAATGATGCAGGTTATCTAGGAAGTCGAATTTTTTGGGCGTCACACACCACTGAGCACCTTCTATAGGAATGAATGGGCCCTGCCTCTGATGCAGTATCCAGTTCTCTTTATGCATCCATGAGTCAGATAACCTCGTTCAAAAATCCCATTAACATTTGTGACAATGCTAACAACTATAAATTGCCTCGTGCAGTGACTTCATGGAGCCTCTGTTGGTCACCTAGCAACTTCAAAATGACGACAAGACTCCATTTAGATGTATAAACCCGTTGAGCTTTAGAGGTTACCGTTGGATAGAGCCAGGCTAGCTACTTCCCCCTGCTTCCGATCTTTAAACTCAGCTAAGTAGGTCCCAGCTTTTGCTTGATATTGAGCAGACAAATGTGAGAGTAGTATTGATCCTCTCCTCTGACTCTCTGCAAAAAAGTGAATTAACGTATTTTCTGAAATGTCAAACCAGTCCTTTCAGTCTCTAAGGCTTTAATGAGTGGTGAAAATAAACTGCAGCGAGTACAATGTAGCTGAGTCAGGCACACATCGAGCTAAACAGAAAAAAGCTTTGTGGGTTGTTTGGGGTTATTATTGGTCATCACATCAAAAATAGCTTCCCACACGTCAACCAAACGATTTGAGCTTGTGACTGAATCCTTCTTCTGCAGAATGTGCACACTAGCATCTGACAGATAGATGGAGTGCGTGGAGGCCATGCATGCTGCTCTGACTCACACAGCGTCACATGACCTCTCCTCCAGTCAGACTTGCCCTGACCTGGAATTGCAGGGCTGCAGTACTGTAACATTACTATGCGACACTGGAGGCACTGTGTGCTCTTACACACTGTGTCTGCACTCACACACACACACACACTTGCATGCGTGCACCTCTATTTTCTCTTCTCCGCCTACTGCTCTGCCAAATCATCCTTTTCAGCCACCAAACACTAGCACCCGGCACCCACACACACACGCACGCACACACACACACACACACACACCCTCAGCCCTCTCTGGCCTTTCTCCAGCTCCTGCTCTCTCTGTACTTTGGAAACCGCCTCTGTTTGGAACAAAGGCAAATGAGAAATGAAACAGGGCTTTGTAGCAGGAACCATCGCCTACAGTGAGCAAGCAGTGATGTTAATTAGAACATATATCAGCATATATATGCAGAATCTGTAGCATAGTGGACAAGATTTTGGTATCGGAAGTGTTCTAGTTTCCGTTTGACGTACAGTAGCATAGACCAATAACGTTTAAGCAGCAGGTAAACAGTCGGTGTAGAGATGCGAAACATGTTGACCAAAATGCAATCTCAGAAACCCACTGGCTGACGTCTGATGACAATTTAGCTTTGTATTAGCTTTATTAGGATAAACAGGCTTACATCTGCATTAATATGAACATATCTGTTTACTGATGAGGGCACATGAAGAGCAAATCTTGGCTCGGATGTTTGCTTGCTCTCCAAAAATATCAGCCGTTGCCCCAAGACTTATCATCGTCACACCGATAGCCAGTGGGTTCCAAGACTGGCAGCCTGTTAGCTTAGCTTAGCATAAGGGCTGGAAACAGGGAAATATAAAGCCTAGCTGTGTCCAATCGGTGCCTCTAAAGTTTAACCTTACCCGAAAACCACTACTTTGAATAAACAAATTAAATATAACATGTTAATTTGATGAACTTTAGAGGTTTTGATACATGTGGACAGAGCCAGGCTAGCTGTCTCCCACTGTGTCCAGCAACGGCAACCTCCGGAGCTGAAAATGAAGCCAACGCAGAAGTGTCACTTGAGGCTGGCTCCAAAAGCGAGCACATCCTCATGGACCCCCATGTTAAAATGCCCAACTTCACAGCAGAAATGAACATGTTTACAGCCTGGTACAATTTGGTCTCAATCGCTCCCCATTCAGGACAACTGACGGAGGGTGTATTTTTATGTAACTCACCCATTTAAATTTGTCCAGGTCACCTTGAGTCACTTGTGGCTCCAAAAATCCAAGATGGTGACGGCCAAAATACCAAACTCAAGGCTTCAAAATGGGAGTTCACAGTGACACTGGTATCAATCTTCTCACTTAACGCTTGGCAAATAAGCAAATAAGCAAATAAGCGTACCTAAATTGTCGAACTATTCCTTTAAAGACAAGTTCACAAATTCGTAAAGGCTTTAAATTTTGCACACTTCCAGGACTAAATACAACGCAGGTATTTTTGCATGGCGTCCCCAGTGGACCGTCTGCACTTTAAACTGTGCACACACCAAACAACTGCTCACCTCTCACGACTTCCAAGAAAAGCCCTCCTGACTCCCAGGAGTCAGTGCACCAGGTGTCACATATTGACCTAGTGATTAGTGAACAGAGAAGCAGTGGGTTCAACTCCTCAACAGTCCATCAGCAGCCATAAGTCCTGTCTAACAGACTCCACCCTGCCCTGCCACTGTGCATTAATCCTGACAAAAGCCTTGCCTAAATGCTCAAATGTAAATATGATGTCACAAAGCTCCCTTCTTTCAGCAATTAACCGTCACAAGCAGCTCTCAATACCCAGCCTGGCCACTCCTTAAACCTTTGACCTCTGACAGTCAAACTTAAAACAGCTGTGAGAGAGAGAGTGTGTGTGTGTGTTATGTGTGTGTTGTCCTAGGTGCCTGTCGCCCACCAAAAAACTGAGGGCTGCTCTGGTGTTAAAGGATAGATCAGGAGGTTGGTTTTTGCCACTGGAATGAGGTCCGATGTTGATTCATCCTCTAACAGGATACGATCCTAAACCTAACAGGGCTTTTGTTTCTATCAGGTGTTTGTATCGGTGGTTAAAACCATCCTCCCTTATCGTAAGCCTCTAAAACCTGAATGACAAAAAAACAATAATAATAAAAGTAAGAAATGAAGACAGACATGATCCTGACTGACGAAACAGAATAAGTAGTACTAAAAAAATCCAACACCCACAGAAGGGGATTCTGTGTTTAGATTTTGTATCTTACAAACACTGTACAGGGTAATACTCAACTGACCAGGTTCCATGGACTCCATAGAAAGAAGAAACTCAAAAAATAAACCCAAAACAGCTACTCTTCAACTTATCACTTCTGCACGTCTGAAAGAAAGTTTATACACTTAGTTTGTTTCTCTTGACTCCATTTTTTTTTTCACTTCATCTTCAGCTTTTACAATCAAGTTTGGTTTGTCAGAGAGGAGGAGCATCGTGGAGGAGACGAGGGAAGAGGAAGCCGAGAGCAGACTGCGGTTCCACTCCCTGACCAGTCTGAGCTCACATTAAAGCGAGCTCTTCTGCAGGGGGAGGCTGGAAACCTGACTGGTGAAGCTGGTTATTCTAATCCAATTTAAAGCCAGAATTGTTATGCGTTAAAACAGGACATATCCCCCTTTTTTACTGTAGAGGAAAACAAAAACAAGCACCTCCATCTTTGCACTATCCAGTGCAATACATCTCGTCCCTTTACCTTATAAAAACTGCCAACTGAAAAGATTTTCCCCTCCAGCCTTGCAGTCCTTGCAGACTGATTCTCGGGTGTGGTTGAGTCTGCGACCTCGCCCTCTCTCAGGGTAAAGCACAGGGAGGCTTGATGTACAGTAGAAACTTTTTGTTTAAGATCCTAGCAGGTATCTGGTTAGGTATTACCCCTGGCTTACAACTAGATCTCCTGTCGTTTCATTAATACTAGCATTTAACGCGAAGAGAAACCGGATCAGCCAGGGGCAACACCTATGTCAAAGCAAAACAATAAAAAAAAGTACTATCTAATCTGTTAAGTAATGCTTCAACAAAATATCAAAACATACATTGAGTTCACAAACAAGTATTTCTTAAGAAAAATGCAGTAAACGTCCAGGGTTAATAGCTTGAGTTCTGTGTAGAGCAGTTCACTATGTTCCCCTCATAGGTGCAGATCTGAGGTCAGCCTAGACATCGATTTCAGCCAACTGCAGCCATAATGAACTGCAGTGGAATCGGTGACAGCAGATCAGCATCTAGAGACGACTCTCTGTACAGGTTGGCACGGCTGGAGGTTTGGCCGCAGTGAGGCCACAGGCAGAGAAGGTCTGTTGATACAGGTTTGGGTGGGAACATGCTAGCCCAATATAGGCAAAGGCTTTCACTCCAAAAATACCCGCCATGTTTTAGCACAGGCAGGTTCGTGGGCAAAGCTCTGAGACCTTTCAATACACCCACAAGAAAAAAAAGCTTTTATTGAGCTTTTAATGGGACACCAGGTCGTGTTTGGCACGGTCGGCAGGAGCGCCTACCGCCCATTTGTGTTGCCCACATGCATCCTCCCACTCCTTGCCTATGGCACTGCTGTCCATCCTTTACCCAACTCCTCATTTCATGACAAAAGGAAAAAGAAATCCTGGTTTCCTACTGATTATTAATGTCCAAATCCCTTTTCAAGTTAAGCTGTAGTTAATTTACCAGCATATATGAATATTACCAAAGCACCTTGGATCATACTCAATGATATACTGATCTCAGCCACTGTGAACAGAAGATACCTGCCCCTTAGCTGTGGCTCCGGGGTATGGCGCTTTTCCAGAGTGGCTATTTTGGGAGTGTTTGTAAGAGTGTGTGTGTCGGCTAGATGGGCTGCTTGAAGTGTGTGTTTGCATGTGTGTGTGTGTGTCTGGGGATCAATTTAAGTACTGAATGTGTGCACTCATGTGTGTCTGTATGTGCATGTGTGTAAGTGTGTGTGTGATGGCAAGAGGAGCGCAGCGCGGCTATAGTATGATGCAGGGCTTCTTGTCCTTGAAAGGGTTTTCGGAGGTGGGAACCCCGACCAGCAGAGGGTCGCTACGAGCATGCTGCTCACAGTAACTCATCAGGTCTGCTGCTGCTTTAGACACCTGACGAGAGGTGGGAGAGAAAGAGAAGGTGAGGGGTTAAATGCAGGGGAAATAAAAAGGTAATGGTCGACGAGTGAAGGGATTTGTGGGGTAGATGAGAGGAAGTAACAGGAGCAACAAGACGGAGGTGTAAGGTGAGAACGGTCAAATGTGGGCGACACACGACTCGTCCTACCTTAATGCGTTCAATCCCTGCCTCAATCCTCAGCTGTTCCACCAGTTTCCGGGCCTGGGCGATATTATTAGTGGTAGACATACTGATCCATCAGAATACACCAACACAGGAGAAAACTGATGAGGGAGAGACAGAGGGAGAGAGTAAAAAAATGTTTGCTATGCAGACAATGATGGATGATTTCATCAAATATGCTGGCACGCCTCAGCTCGATATGCAGGGAACGGGAGGTGACTCCTGGCTACTAAAAACTGACTTAGGGACATTGTTTGACATGTACAGACATGTTTTCATTACGTTTTGATTTGTGTCTCGTGTGTAGCCATGACAAGAGTGGATTATCCTGGTGGCATGAAGGTGAAATGTGACAAATTTAAATTTAAAGCCATCTTGGAACCCATGGGTCTGATGATGATTTAGCCTCTGAGGGCAACAGCCAATATTTTGGGACTTCCAGTGTAGACAGTGGATATTGGATGTTGGATATCTAGGACAAGAGTTTCTCTACTGTGCACCGGTCATTGTTGTCAGTCCGATTAGCAACTTAAGCACGAGAATGGAATTGCATAGTTATGGCTGATCTCTGTTAACAGATACCTGCATATGATTGAAGATAAACCTTAAGCTAAATTGCGGTCAGACAATAGCCGATGGATTCAAAGACTGCTTTTGGCCGATGCATTCCACCTCTTTTGATCTTTACATGGACTGCTGACTTGCATGTAACCAAAGCCCGCTGTAGCGTGATTAGTCAACACTGCTCTGACTACAAATGGAGAAAACGTTGAAGAAGAGTACACTTGCAAGATAAATGTGACACTTTCTAATGTCACAATGGAGGGACAACTACGCAGGTTGATTTTAGCGCTGCTCATTGTGGACTATATTGCTGTCATTGTTCATTTTAGTCAAACCATACAGTTTGAAAACGAGGCGCGGCTCCAACTAGAAAACAATGTTTTGATGCATTGGATGTGCTGAATGTGCATATTAAGGCAGTACAGGAGGAGGTGCACATTAATAATCCTCCAGGACTGTAACATGCTCATGTTTAACCCAAACAATAGCTATGTTTCCATCCAAAAGTGATTTAAATCATTGGGAAATGCGCATTAAAACAAATACGAATTCTTTGGTGAAAACTATGAACTCACGCAAGTTTTCCGCAGAACCGGAAACAAAACAAGTCTCGCATTCTTCTTCTTCTACGTTTTCTGGCGGTTGGCAACCAGCTTGTAAATGCATTACCGCCTTCCTGATCCGGAGTGTGGATATCACCATGGAGAGAGGTGCGCTACATCAGACTTAATTTGAACATAACTGTTTTCATCCCCCGTTTTGCGGATCAACATTTTTTCGAATCAACCAAAACCCGGCTAAAGCGAGCGTATTTTAGTTTGTGCGAATCAGGGGATTTTAATTCGAATTTAGGCGTTTCCATCGTAATTTTCCAATGCGATACTTCTAGATGTGCATCTAAACAGGCTGATGGAAACATGGCTAATGTGTCATGTGACTGCAGTTGGTTCGGATCGAGGTTGGAACACATTCTCACCACAAACGAACCGCACCAGAGTTCGTTTGTAACCAGATCGAGACCACCTCTTCAAGAAGGTCTCGGTCCGGTTGTTTTGGTGCACACCTGCCCAAACGAACCACACTTAGTGGGCAAACGAACTTGAGTTCCATTGAACTGAACCAAACAGGGCAGGTGTGAAAGAACCTTTAAACTAGCAACAACTGCACTTAAAATAAATAGTAGTAAAGTAGTAGTAGTAGTAGTAAATACAATATTGATAAAGCTGAGTATTTTCATTTTATGCCACGCCATATTTCTACTTCACTACGTTTCAAAGGGAGACACTGATCTCTTTACTACACTTCATTTATCTGACAGTTACTAGTTACTTTGTAGATTATAATTTCTCATATTATAGATTAAACTACCATTTATGATGTAATTTAAATTATCTTTTGTATGACCAACTACTGTATAATATTAAAATGCTGCTTGCACATTAATGAATCAGTGTTTATGATCCAATACTATTATATATAGCTAATGATATACTCTAATGAGGACCATTTTCAGCAGGGTGAGTATATTATTTTTGCTACTTTACACACTTCTGTAGTTTTACTCAAGAAAGCATCTTCATGCTGGACTTTTATTTGAAATGGAATATTTTTACCTTTTGGTACTAACACTTTTAATAAGTACACTTCTTCCACCACTGCAAGTATTCCACACAATGTATTTACAGTTAAGCAACAAACAATTAAATGATGATTTACATCAGTCTCTGGGTTTGCTGCCATATGAACATTGTGTTTATACTGCACTGATTTATGAGCTGAATCACCTTTTAAGTAATCAATATCCTCCTTTAGGTCACTGTGTGGCCTCAGTTGTAGAGTTATAGCACCACTGTGAGGTGACTACATGGTAGTGCATCACTATTAATGAGAGAAATAAGGCAGTTTCTTGCTCAAAATACATGTTATGCAGGTAATATGCAGAGTATAACTCAACCTGGGACTCACTTATTAGTTTAGATCTATGTTATGCTAAATGTTCTTTAAGATTTTAGCACAGCAGAGACAATAGAGTGTTACCTGACTGATGGCAGGCAGACAGGACTCTCTCTGAACACAGACGTGACTGGACGGAGGAGATCTGAGCGATGCACGGAGGGCCACAAAACAGTTGCCAAGTCAAAACGACAGAGCCGGACGGCAGCTGAGCTCACATTGGCTTGTCTCTGTAAAAGAGGAGAGCAGGTGAGATGGCTGCTTACAAAGCTAGGTTACAGACAGGCAAACATTACACATGCGTTTTTTAGTGTTAGTCTCCATTCACAAGTTAAATTGTAGTTCAAGTTTTCATATGTCACTGAGAATTTTGAGATCATGAGGGTGCTTTGCCTCAATGCCAAACTATCATCATCAGCCTTGTTATTCATAAAACAAAATCTGTCATCACAACCTGTATTACTGCCTCACTGATCAGATGCTTGGACGTTCCTGCATCTCTGATCCAAAAACAGGAATTCCTTTCATACCTGCACGGTCAAAGATTCATTCAGAAACCTCCACTTTCTTTCTTTTACACGTCTTTTAGCACAGCGCACAAGTTTCCCCACCAGTGCACTTGATCAAAACGCACCTCGCTCCTCACACACATCAATGTGACTGTGTTACGACTGGGTCTCTCACTCTGTGTCTCTGTCTCTGTCTGTCGCCCTCTCTCCCGGGAGGAGAGTCCTGCCTTAATTACTCCTACTGTGGAGTAGCTCAGAGATTCATGACTGTAATTAGGGCTTTTGTGTGTGTATGTGTGTGTGTGTGAGAGAGTGCACACACATTTGTATTGTTAAACTTATGAGGACATTTATTGATTGTCTCCCAGCCTAGGCCTAATTCCAAATCCTAATCCTAATCTCAATTTGGAGTTCAAATCCTCCCAACTGGACACTTAGAGGCACATTTTCCTCATGTTGGAGGGTTTCTTTTTCTCTGGCCTTTTTTTGTCTATTTGTTTTCCCTTACACAAGCACACTTTTTTTAACAGCACTTAATTTACTCTCTTAATTCACTGGAAAGTAGGGGTGGGCATATCGATACTGCTAATCTTGCATTGTGTATTAATACTAGAGCCACGTTAGATCTCATTCTGAAAACACAAACACTTGTTAGTTAAAAACAGAGCATAGTACATGTGTAAGTGGAATTAGAGGTAACTTTTTAATGGCGCATTTCCCTCCTAGGTTATGGCACATGACTCTCTCTAAATAAGATGCTTTTAATAGTAAAAAGTACAGGTATCGGCCCTTGTGTTGCTTAATATTGTATTGGAATCAATTTTGGAGTTTTTGGGGGCATCATCCACCCTGGAAGTTTACCCTAACATTAATAGACAGTGGGGATGCACAACATATTTTTTTTAAATCGTTATTGCGATGTCAACTTGTGTGATAAACATACTGCCACAGATTGCGATATTGCGCCCAGAGATTTTTTGAGTTAGTTGGAAGAAAGTTTTGGTAGAACACTGCACTTTAAAATGTTTGTTTTCTTTTGTGTTCAGTTCAATGGTCAATTTGGTCAATGGTCTTTTTTTTTTAATTCAACGCCAAATTTGTTGTATCTTAGCAGTATAAAATGCAGCAGAGAGTCAGTGGTTCTCAACCTATTTCGTGTCAAGGACCCCTAAATTGACACACATTAGATCATGGACTCCTCTTTGGTAGCTTTGTCTTCGGGGGCTTCCATCTGAAAAGATTTTGGTCATTAGATATGATTGAGATGAGGGGTCTCATTTATAAACATTGCGTATGCACAAAATGAGGCGTGAAAGAGGTGTACGCCACTTAGCACGCAAAAGTTGTGCTCTATAAAAACAGACTTGATGGGAGAAATTTTGACCCATGCTTACGAACATTTTAGAGACGGGAAATTGGCGACACAGATGTTGAGGTGGAAGCCTGATTGTACAAATCATGGAATATTTTTGGCTTTTGTTCATATGTACATTTTTAGTATGGATTCTACGCACTGTTTTATAAATGAGACCACAGAAGTCTATAATCGTCGACTACAGTTGTGATAACTTTAAAGGATGTCAGAATAGTCACCTCTATGACTCTTACTCACATTGGGCTCACGTCTATAGTGAATTAAATCTATTCAGCATCTTTCTGGGGATCCCCTGGAACTCCTTCAAGGACCCCTGATAGTCTCGAGACCTCTGATTGAGAACCACTGTTGCAAGTATCGTCAAAGCCATGTTCAACCACGTTCTCACATATTTTTTCTCATGTCAAGCATCCCTAGTCTACAGTGCACCACATGCTTTAACCCAACACTGACCTGAACATAACCATAACCCTACACTGCAGTGGCTCATAATGTGGGCATCTGGTCATTGTCCCCACATAGGAGGTAAGTGTGTACAGGTGTATGTCACTAAAAGGTGTTTAACACACGTGTACACATAAAAAAAGGCATACAGCCTTTGTGTCACAGCATACATTCTCTTTCAGGATATGAGGAGTGTCCCTGAATCACCCACTGGACCCATATGAATGACAGCAACTCGCAGGGACAGTAAGTCAAGTAAACACAGCACACTACAGCCTGTATACCACGGAGCTGAGTCAACACCAGTCACCGCAAAACAAGAGAAAGCTACAGCCTTACTGAGGGAATACTTCCCTTTAAATATAATTTCTTACAACATAAGTGGGCAAATATTAAAAGGAGACCACAGCACTTAGCTGCTGTGCCTTTCACAGACTAAGTCTTTTGTGATTTTGGAGGTAAACTTCCACATGCAAATGATGGTTTTGCTCAGACAAGTTTCCATATTTTCCTCGAATGCATTTGCAACAAACGTGGCAACTCGCAGCGACAGCGCAGCCCAGAGATATAAAACTTAAATCACTCCTCGGTGATGGTGGTGCTGGTGCTTTGATTTCTTCAGCCTGTTGATTTTTCAAACTTTTTGCTGTGGCGCATTCCGTGCTGAGAGAAGGAGGCTGTGCGCTTAAAAAAAGCAGCACAAATATGAGTTTCTGCCCATCCACAGTCAAACCTCTCGCCTCCAACACCCCCCCCAAATTGACACATTTTCTTGTAAAGCCAATGCACAGAGGCAATACAGTAAGCTGGTCATTTGTCTTGGCCTGGACCAAAAAACATCACCAGAGCTGGACAGGCCCCGGTCAGCCTGCCAGCCAGCCAGCCAGCGAGCCCAGAGCCGCTCTCGAGACGCGCAAGAATGCATCAATCCTTATTGATCCTAGCAGCTCCTGAGCGCTGATCGGGCCTGCAGTACGGAGCCATGTCCTCCGCTATAGGCCCTGCTCGCTGCTCTACCGTGTGAAAACACAATGCGGGCATTTTGATGGATAGAACAGCATGTCCTCTCTCTCCCATGGCTATCCACACTCCACACACACACACGCACGCATACATACACACGCATACGCACAGTGCGCGCAAGCACAGGCAGACCTTGTGCACATATCAAAGCCAGAGATATTTTCCCAAGTGAAGACCAGACTAGACCGCTTCAGGTCTGCAAACAGGCCCTGATTGTTAGCCGTGGGAGCAGGGTGGTGACATGTTTTGAGGGAGGCAGGCTCCAGCAGCCAATATAAACCCATCCAGCGACAATGGGCACAAGACTGGAGCGCATGCCTTTATGTTCCGCTATTATGCAAATTGGTCGGCACACGGCCTACTTCAGCATATAAAAATCCAGAGGTTTTTGGATACAGTGGCTTGTGCGTCCTCAGAGTCCAGCCGAGCAGTAGGAAATCTTCCACTGACCCTGTCCCCGGTCCTCCCCACCCTCTCTGCCGGCAAAGGGCTGGGGAAAACCGGATTCGTGACACTGATGAAGCCCCTCTCCGCTGCAGCCGCCCTCGGTGACGAGAAGCCGGGGTTGCAGAGGCGCACAGACGCGTTACAATTATTATACACAGGGAGAAAAATACCCGAATATCTCCAAACTCACCTCCGAATGCGCTGTATTGGTGATTTAAAGGGCCAGATCCGCTGGTTTCTTACCCTCTCTGCTCGTTCACTCCCCGTCTTCGCCGAGCCAAACGCCTCCCCCTCCGCTGCCAGTGTCTGTCCACTCCTCTACCCCCCCTCCCTCCCTTCTCTTCCTCCCTCCTTCTCCCTCCCTCCATCCGATCCGGTGACAGCACCTCTAACCCAGGGGCTCCTAAACAAACATCCACATTCACACGGATCCTCTTAAGAAGACGAGTTTGAATGGATTTATTTTCAATGGATGTGTCTCTGCAGCCCTGTGTGTTTGGATGGATGTCTTGAAGTGTGGACTGAGCAACACTTGCATGAATGAAAGCCCCATTCAAAATTAATTTAGAAAATGTATTCCTCTGCTCCTCTGCGTCCTCAACACCTTTATCTAACAATGAAGTCAGTCAATATCTTGCTGGATTTCCTGGAAACTTCTTATTTGAAACCTTGATCGCCAGGACACTGGCTTATTGAATGGCTCCTTCCCACCATATTTCATTAATATCTGATTGTCATATTGTAAATTATAGCTCAGATTACAGGCAAGTAACCAAACAAGTCACTGCAGAATACTTCCACTGCATAAACCTGCCTTTTACTTTTAGATCATCCTTATCCAAAGTGCTGTATCATCTTTCGAGATATATTTTGTATACATTTTCAGATTTTGGTTATCTTGTCTATTATTATTATAATATTTGGACATATAATTAGTCTGAATGCACCAAAAAGTGGGAGCTTGGAGTAGAGCTGCTGCACATCGAAAGGGGTCAGTTGAGGTGGTTCGGGCATCTGATCAGGATGCCTCCTGGGTGCCTCCCGTTAGAGGTGGTCTGGGCACATCCAACTGGTAGGAAGCACTGGGGCAGACCCAGAACACATTGGAGTTGAAAAAAACAAAAACGCATCTGCAGTGATGTGCTGCGCCGGAACATCGTGGTGAAGAGGGAGCTGAGTCGGAAGGCAAAGCTTTCGATTTACTGGTCCATCTACGTCCCAACCCTCACCTATGGTCATGAGCTCTGGGTAGTGACCGGAAGAATGAAATTGCAGAAACAAGCAGCCGAAATGAGTTTCCTCCGTGGGGTGGCTGCAGCCTTAGAGATAGGGTAAGGAGCGCGGACATCCCGGGGGAGCTCGGAGTAGAGTTGCTGTTCTTTCATGGCGAAAAGGGTCAGTTGATGTGGTTCGGGCATTTGATCAGGATGCCTCCTGAGGTGTTCCAGGCACGTCCCACTGGTAGGAGGCCCCCGGGGCAGACCCAGAACATGCTGGAGGGATTACATATCTCATCTGGCCTGGGAACGCCTTGGGGTCCCCCAGGAGGAGCTGGAAAGAGTTGCTGGGGAGAGGGAGTACTGGGGTGCTTTGCTTGGCCTTCTGGCACTGCAACCCAGCCCCAGATAGGCGGATGAAAATGGATGGATGGATGGCACTAAGAAGGTGTCTCTAAAATGTCAATGTTTTGTGCATGATTTACAAATGGACAGCTAAATGAATCTTTTGACAACTGTTTCTACATGCATTGTATTTTTGGACCAGTTTCAAATAAAGTGCCCTGGCCTGTCCTTTTTTTATGTTGCAAGACTAACTTTAACCCAACTTCCTGGATGGATTACTAGGCATAGGTCTGGGGGCCAAGAGTGTCACAGGCACTTCTTGCCTTCACCTGCAAAATGTCAGATGAGACACATACTGAACAGTAAGAGACTCAAAATAACCACAAAAAGATGCAAAGAAACTGCAAAGAGACAGAAAATAACAACAAAAATGGGCGAAACAACCACAAAGAATCATGAAATGACTACAAAGAGACATAAAACATGTCCAAGGAAAGGCAAATCTACCACAAAGTCTGTGATTCTTGCTACAGGCTTAGAAGAGGTGGTGGGGCGTTATGCATATCTGTGCCCAGGGGCCCGTTGTCTCCAAATCCGCCCATGCTCCCCACTTACCCAACCTGCAAGCTGAGTATTTTCCCCGTCATGTACATCTCGATCTGTGCACCTCTCAGTGTAAATGGTGACTCCACACGGTGGCGCCGTTGACCCAGCTGTAGTTCCGTCTTCTCCGGGGAGGTGTGGGCCGCTCCTGCTATTCCTGGCAGACCCGGCGCAAACACGCATGCATCCTCCGTTTCCACCGCGTTGTAGTCCACTCCTCCACACGGTGCTAAAAGTGCTGCATGTTCATTGGCTGAGTGTGGACGGTGCGCTCCGTGGTGAAGGGGACAAAGGTCTGATGAGTTGAATAACATCTTATTTTTACAGTAGAGTTCGCGCCCATGGGACTGTGGTGATGCTGACAGAGATGGGGATAGGTGTGTGGAGTAATACTGATAACACACTTCCACAGCCATGCCTTCCTCGTGGCTGTATGGAAACCTTTTCCTAGCTACTTATTATAACCACAGGAGAGCTATTTATAACTCACACAGTACCGCATTGGCCTCATTTCCACTGATGTGTGAAATTATGCTGATGCCTATACATTTCTCTTTCATTTCCTCACCTTTTAGCTCCCTCTTTCTCCCTCTCCCTCCTTCATTTGTCTCACCTCCTTCTTCCATTTCACTCTATTCCCTCTCCTCCCCCTCCCTCCCTCCCTCCTGTGTGTGTCTTGTTGGGGAGGCAGTGTGGTTACAGTGGATTACAGCAGGGCTCTTCATTTTCTAAGAAATGAGCGGTGGAAGCCCATGAGTCACGACTGAAAGATGCTCTCAGGCTGACAGAGGTGGCACCCACGCAAACACACCTTCCTCTGTCCCTTGCTCTGAGCGGTCATGTGTGTGCGCAGACTTTCCCCAGATATCCAGAAGCGCACGTGTGTGTGTGTGTGTGTCTGTGCATGTGTGTTTGCGGACAGGAGTATTATCTCATTAAGATCTAGCAGAGGGGTTGCCACACTGGCCTGGGGGGGGGTGAGAGTTTTCGTCTTTGTGCGTTGTTGTACACTCCGGCAGCAGCCTGGGAGACCTCTGCCTGTCGTAACGCATCTCTGTCCCCACCAGGGTCACACCACACTCTCATGCGACAACGGTCGTCAACGTCACACTGTCTCCATGGCAACCGCGCTGGGCACAGCATCCCCAAGCAGATGTTAGAGGGTTAAGAGAGAAGTGAGAGAAAGGAGTGGGAGACTGTGAATCCAGCATCCATCTCTCTCTGTGCTCTGTGTGTTATAGATAAAGGATGATAGTCATAGTTATACAATTATAGAATTATAAAGTTATAGTTACAGAGTTATTGTTATAGGCTATAGTATAGAATATATATAGTTAGCCTATAGATTTATAGAGTGACAGTTACTGTTATACAATTAAAGAATTACAGTTGCAGGCCCAGTAATAGAATTAAAGTTATATAATTAATGTCATAGTTATGAAATTATGGTTATAGTAGCTACCTGAATTTCAGATTTATAGTTATAGGATTATAGTTATAGCTGTAGAATTATATTTATGGAATTCTAGTTATGAAATTATAATCACAGTTACATGGCTATAGTTATATAAATACAGTTATAGTCATGGAATTGTGGAATTCTAGTTATAGGCCTAGTTATAGAATTAAAGTTACACAATTATAGTTATAGGAATCATAGTTATAGGTACAGAACTGTAGAATTAGAGTTATACAATTTCAGTTATAGAATCATAATTATAGATATAGAATGATAGTTATAGGTCTAATTATAGTAATAGAATTACAGTCATAGTTATATGATTGTGTAACATAACTATAGTCAAAGTTATGGAATTAAAGTTATACAACTATAGTTATAGTTCTGAAATCATAGTTTTAGAATTACAGTTATAGTTATGGAATTATAATAACAGAATCATAGCTACAGATATAGAATTATAGTTAAAGGTCTAATTGTAAAATTTAAGTTATACAATTAATGTTATAGTTATGACATCCTTGTTATAGTTCCAGAATTTTAGGATTATGGTTTTAAAATTACAGTTATAGTTAGGGAATCATAGTTGCAGAATTGTAGAATTATAGTTATACAACCTATAGTTATAGAATCATAATAATGTATATAGAATTATATTTCTAGAATTATAGTTACGGAATTGTGGAGTTTTGTCATAGGCCTAGTTATAGAATTAAAGTTATACCATTATAGTGAGGGAAATCACATTTCCAGAATTTTAGAACTATAGAATTAGAGTTATACATTTATAGTTATAGAATCATAATCATGTAGAATTATAGTTATAGGTCTAATTGTAAAATTAAAGTCAAACAGTAATAGTTATAGTTATGGAATTATAGTTATAGAATCTTAGTTATAGATATAGAATTATAGTTACAGAGTTACAGCTATAGAATTAAAATGTTATAGTTATAGAATTATAGTTATGGAATTATAGTTTTACTTAAAGAATCATAGAAATAGAATTTTAGTTATAGGTCTTATTATAGAATTATAATTATAGAATTTTACCTATGGAGTTATAGTCATAGCTACTGAATTATAGTTATAAATACAGCTATAGTAAATGACAACAAAGATATGAAAATACAACCAAATAACAATTATAGCTACAGACCTCGAATCAAAGTTGTAGGTCCAGTAATATCACTATAGTTATAGAATTATAGAAATATAGTTATGGTTATATAATTAGATAGTTATATAATTATGGTTACAGAATTATACTAGTTATAAAATTATAGCCAGAGCATTATAGTTATTGAATTATAGTTATAGTCTACTTCACCACAGTTTAAAGGTTGAACTGTTGTGCATCATTAACAATAATAATAATCCCATATATAATATTGTAGTATAAGGTAAGTCATTTCTTTTGCACAGTGAGTACTTTTACTTTTTATACTTTAAGGAGCCGACAGTTTGCTAATAATATACCACTGGAGTAGTTTTATATTGTAATAAGCTATTGTTACTTTTACCTAAGTGAAGGATTGGAATACTTCCACTACCACTGGTAGCATGCTAACATTTGCTAATCAGCACTAAACACAAAGTAAAGCTGAGGTTGACGATAGCGTCATTAGTTTATCCAGGAATTTCTTAAAAAAAACGTATTGAACAAATTAAAATGTTGACCTGATGACGGCGATATAGGAAAAGTCAAGTGGTGACTTTTGACTCAAGCAAATGTGGCATCAGAGGGAAAAGTCGGTGGGACACATAAGTCATGAGGATTCATCCTCTGGGAACCATGAGAGATTGTACGAATGTTCACGGTGAAAAATCACATACTGAGACCTTTCAGTCTGGATCAAAGTGGTGGAGCGACCACTGACATTGCTAAAAATCAAACTTCTATTAGCAACGCCAGCACAGGTGAGGTTGTGCCATCACACGCCGAGAGGAGAAAAATCACTAAGACAAGAAACACTCCTCAGTTCACATTTTTATTAGGAAAATCATTTTGCAGATTTGATTATTATTATCATCTATATATATGTTATTTTCAGTTATTCAGAGGATGCATCAGCACAGTATATCTTAATAGGAAGACTATTGCTAGAATAAATATCTATACATCATAATTAGTTAAATAAAAAAAAGTCCCAACAGAAAAAAAAGACATAAACCAATAGAATCATTTACAAAAAACAGTAAGTGCTTAAAAGAAATAAAACTTTTGCAAAACCGAAGCCGTAAATGCTGCTGAGGAATTTATTTAAAAAATACAAAGATGATTCACAGTTTGTGTCCTTGTTCTCATGCTGGCTGGAACACCAAAAGGGACCATGCAGGAATGAAGGGCCAGAGTGACAGGATAGTACCAAACTACATAACCCACAAAGTCTATATGCCCCGCTTTACGCCCCCTGTCTGCAGAAAACAGCGTGTGAGGATCTGAGGCGATCAGACGGGATGTAAAGGGGTGAGCCGGAGAGGTTAACGGAGTCAGTTTTCCACTCATCCTCCGACACTGATTTCCCTCAGATCCTCCGCCTCTCAACTCGACTCAACAGGACTGCGACCTGCCCTTGTTGGTACAGGAATGACTTTATGGAACAAACTGTAGTTAGACTGAAAACCACAACCTTTCCTGTGTGTTTAGATTTTACTGACTGCCCTTCGCTTTAGTGTCACAGGGTTACGTTTCTCATCCTGCTATGGAAGAACACATGTGAACCACACTTCCTCTGCTGTACAACAACATGCTCCTAAGCAACACGACCAGGAAGTTCCCAGGTACCTCAAACGAGGTGAGGTGAACTTCGCCGGGTCCTCATTAAAATTTGGGACAAGTGCTGCCGATAAAGAGACCCAAAGTATTTGATATTAAATAAATGACGATATGAAATTAATAATCATATGACTTACATGAAGGGAAAATATATAATGTAACTATAAAAATGTGAAAAATCAAAAATAATTCTAAAACTCAGTTTATTATTATAAAATTTTATGTTATCCTTCTTCTTTTCACAATAGCCTAATTTAATCGTAGAAATTTGTTATTCAGTTCCAGCAATTTTTATTTCCAAATATCCTTTTCTGAAGCCTGCTTTTATTTCACAACACCTTTTTGCTAGTGACTGTTTATTTTGTAATGCCACTTTTCCTCAAAATGAGCCAGGTCTCACTCAGGAATCATCAAAATCTGGTGCTTGAGCAGTGACTTGCGACATCAGAAACCAACGAAAAAAAGCGCCCTTTGAAGATCACATTTTGGCTTCAAACACTCGCGTTTGGTTGCACAAAAGCTGCTGGAAAAGCACGGATGAGTCAATGAAAAACACCTTTGACAAAAACGTCAAATGCTGCGTTGTGTTGCTAAAATCATCTAAACTTGATGCCACGAACTGACGCGGTCTCACTCCGAAGTCATGGAAATCTGGCACTTGGGCATTGACTTGCGGCGTCAGACACAGACAAAAAAACAAACATCCATAACATCGGCATAATACGCCGCTGGTAACTGTTATAGTTTACCGGTGCCTGGCAGCGTCAGGGGGAAACGTGGCGGGACAAGGACAAACGCTAAAGTGGCTAAAGTCCAACTGGGGCTGGCGGGAGGGGTGGAGGATGGGTCCAACCAACACTGACTTTCACCCTAGAGAGCAGTGTTTGTGTCCCGCAAGATTCCAAAGGCAAACCCTGTTCTTTCTTTACTAGACCTAACCACGTGTTTTTGTTGCGTAAACCCAACCATGTGCATTTGTTGTTGAAGGGAAATATATGTCAATTCACGGTGTTGTACCGACGTAGGTGTTCCTGAGAGAGTGGTGTTAGCATCCCGTAAGATTATAAAGCCAAACCCTGTTCTTTCTTTACTAAACCTAACCATGTGTGTTTGTTGTTGAAGGGAAAAATAGGTCAATTTGCCGTGCTGTACTGACGTAGTGCTTTTATTTTAAAAAAGTGTATTTTGAAAGAAGACAATGCATGTAACAGGCAGAACTTGACACGGTGTCCCAGAGAGTCAACAACCAACGCACCCAGGGTACCTTGCACGTTGTATGTGGATGACAAAAGTCCATGACCAGAACGTCAATATGTGACGAGGTCGGAGTGAGAATGTGTTTATCAATGGACAACAACTTTGTGATGAAGAGTGGCATTGGAAACGTGCACAAAAAATTTGGAAATAAACTACTGTGAAAAGAAGCAGTATGTAAAATCGTAATAAAAGCTGGATTTAAATATCTATTTGATTATTCCGAAATTTCTGAGTTATATTATATATTTTCTCAGTATTTAGTCATATGATTATTGATTTTGCATCTTATTAATCTAATATTTCTCACTTTGGGCTTCCGTACTTTCCCCATTTTAAAGTCAATTGGCATACTTTTATAGCATACTTTGGAAAAGGACCCAAGTTGTAACGACTTCATGACAGCTGCTGAAGTTGACATAAAGTCACCAAGTAGCTCTCCTCTGAAGAAACTCCCAGTTTTGCCGCGTTACTTTGAATTGGACGCTTTGACTATAAGAAGGAAATGCAAGTGACGGCACCTTCCCACCGCAGCATCCTTTCCTCTGCACTCTCTCCTCTTTCATCTCTGGAATATTAAGTCCTTTGAACACTATTTACAGCTATCTACAATCAAATGTGAGCAGGGTCGGCCTTCCGTCTGTTCAAGTGCAACCGACTCTCAAACACAAAACAAACAAACAAAAAAAAACCTGGAGGGATGAATGTGAAAGAAACTGGAGATTTCAAGAGGCAGACAGATGATTTATGGAGAAGTAGTGCTAACGGTGGTGCCTGTACAACAGTGCAGAGCAGAGAAAAAAAACACAGCCAGTGAGAGAATGAGGTTTCACTGACAAGGCCTGTGTGAATGTAATATGCGTGTATGAGTCTGTGTGTGCAGCTGAGGGCATGCAGTCTGTCTATTTTGCCTACATGCCTTTTTATATGCGTGTGTGTGTGTGTGTGTGTGTGTGGGGGGGGGGTGTCGGATGACTCATGCAGAAATGTGGCATTCTCCACAGGAAAGCTTCAAATATCTGACAGACATTTGATAAGATGGCAACAGCAGCACACAAACATGCGCACATACACACTTATGCAGGCCAGAGTGATGGGATGTGGCTGATTGCGCACTCATGGTCTCTCTCTCTCACACACACACACACACACACACTGACAGTAGCAGTGAATATGCTTAATTGATAAATGAGATGAGACAAGCCATGGGAGGACGGGGGCAGAGGTGTCTGTCCTGATTCATGCCAGCATTTAACTCACACAGCCCAAGAAACTCAATGGACGCTCACACACTTCCCATGCACGCCTCCTCACATGCAAGCGCATTTGAATCCTGTACAGGCTAGTTAGTTAGTGCAGTCGCACTCGGTATTTTCACACTATGTCTATTAATAGCGCGGCCTCTCGCTCCAGCTTGTTGTCCATACTGCTCTTGCACGCTGTCTCATTGTTATTTTCCCCCCTCCCTGCTGTATCATATTCCACACAGGAACATGAACAACGACAGTATCCTGTAGACGTCAGCAGAACAACAGATTGCACAAACATGCGCTTGCAAGCTGGCGTTTGCGTGAAGCAACCAGACGTGTCATAAGCTCATATTTATGCAGCGTGTGCACCACTGCTGCCAGTAGCTACACATCACATCAGACCAGAGCTGTCTGATAGGTATACAGATAATTTCCAGTTTTTTTTTTTTGTTTTTTTTTTAACCTTTTGACAAGGGCGGATTATGAAACAATGGGCCCCTGGGCACAGGCATGAAGAAGCCCCCCCCCACCACCACCACCATCACCTCTCCTTCAAAGAAGCAAGACACTGAATTGTTTGGTCTATTTTTGTTGTTGTTTAGCTGCATTTTCTGGTCATTACACATCTCTCTCTGTGGTCTGTGTCTTTTGAATCTCTCAGTAGTTGCATTCCATTTCTTTGTAGTTGCTTTGCATCTCTTTGAAGTCAGGTTTTGTCTCTCTTTGTGGTCATTTTGATTCTATGGTAGTTGCTTTGTGTCTTTGTGCAGTTGCTTTTCATCTCTTGGTAGTCGTTTTGGGTGTATTTATAGTTGCTATGAATTTCTGTGTGGTAATTTTGAGTCTTTGTAGTTGCTTTTTGTCTCTTTGTAGTCAGTTTGAGTCTCTTTGTAGTTACCGTTTGTCTCTTTGTAGTCAGTTTGAATCTCTTTGTAGATGCTTTTTGTCTCTGTAGTCACTTTGAGTCTCTTTGTAGTTGCCTTTTGCCTCTTTGTAGTCAGTTTAAGTCTCTATGTAGTTGCCTATATCCTCTAGGTAGTCAGTTGCTTTTCATGCTATTGTGTTCATGCTGTGGCTACTTGTGGTCATTTTGTATCTCTTTCTATTCACTTTGAGTCTCTTTGTAGTTGTTGTTTGTCTCTTTGTAGTGAGTTTAAGTATCTTTGTAGTTGCCTTTTGCCTCTTTGAAGTCGGTTTAAGTCTCTTTGTAGTTGCTTTTCATGCCCTTGTGTTGATGTTGTGTCTACTTGTGGTCATTTTGTGTCTCTTTGTAGCAAATTTGAGTCTCTTTGCAGTTGCTTTTTGCCTCCTTGTAGTCAGTTTAAGTCTCTTTGTAGTTGCTTTTTGCCTCTTAGCAGTCAGTTTAAGTCTCTTTGTAGTTGCTTTTCATGCCCTAATGTTCATTTTGTGTCTACTTGTCATTTAGTGTCTCTTTGTAGTCCAGTTGAGTCTCTTTGTAGTTGCCTTTTGCCTCTTTGTAGTCAGTTTAAGTCTGTTTGTCGTCATTTGGATCCCTTTGTAGTTTGCATGGCCCCTTTTTGTAGTTAGCAGCCATTTATCATCTCTCTGCAGTCGGTTTGTCTCTTTTTGTTGTCATTGTGTCTCTTTGGGGTTGTTTTGAGTGTCTTTGTGGTCGGTACCTGTTAATTAAGACGCATTTTTGAGCTGAAAGCCGGGGGGGAGGGGGGCCTGGGAGCCTGTGCCCGGTAGGTCCATTCAGTAATCTATCCATGTCTTTAAATGGACACAAATGACATAAATCACTCCATCCTTCTGGCATCTAAAACAAACCAAGACAAACAATTTCAAACACAACTTGTTTCTTTAAATGATGGAAAAAAAGAAGAAGAAGAAGAAGAAGAAGAAGAAGGAGAAAGAGTACTAGTGAGCATCCCTGGCATCTAACGGGTAAAGGGTACATTTTTACAATGCAAACTTTTGAGTTTAACAGGACCTCACATTAGTGCAAAGTACAACACATCGATAACAACGGATTCATTCAGCTTTCAAAATAAAATTTTAAAAAAGCCATGGAGTTGAACCTTTAGTTACATATTCACATTTTGCTAGTATTATCTGATTGATAGATCTGAAGAGTGGATGTGTCAAATACAATATATCATGAGCATCATTAGTAAGCTGTATATTACAGTACATAGCAACATCGAACCTCCTACTGTAACAACATTTCCTGGTTACAAAGGACTTATTCCCAGAAAGACAGTGGGTACAGATTTTCTTTACATGGGTAACATCTTACTTGAAGCTCTTATAAACATTTCATTCAACTACCGTATGCTTTATTTACAATAACTACACGTTTGAAATAGTTTTCACGTGGGCCTGTGGGCGTGAGTAATGCAGGAGGGACATTTTACATGGTGCTTATAAATGAGGCATCGCTGATTAATAAGCAAGTCTTCAAGTAAAATGTCACCCTAAAGTGCCCAGTTGTTGATTCTGCTGCACACATAAAGACAGAGAAGGAGACAGACGGAAACAGTTGCTGTGCTTTTCTTTTTTTTTTTCCAGAGAGATGGACACACAGTTAAAAGGGGAATCATCTGTGTTCTTTGGGTTTAACAGTACAGGAGCAGATTATCCTCCTCCCAAATTGTTGTTAAAACCGCCTGAGAGATGGAGAAAAGTACACAAATAATCTGACCCTCCTCTGCGTCCTATATGACCTGCAATCCTGTGGGGTTACGTCCCATTTCTCGCACTCCACAGCTAACCTGTCACATCACGATTTACCCTGTTGTTCAGCAGAACCACAACCTCATTGTGCCATGTACGGGACAAATAAAACGCTTCACATCGAGACGGAGAAGCTACCGGTGATCATGATGCGATTGTTCCTCCACGTTCAGGACTGGTGAATAAATGTTAATGATGAGAATTGCACAAAGGAGACAAAAAAAAGGAAGAAAAACATATAAAAAATAAACAAATAAATGTACAAATAGATATGTTGGTAAAAAAGTATTGTGCTTTTGGCTGTCCTGTGTACACTGTGTACAATATTCAGAGCTCCTGTGTGGAAAAAAAGGGTGTATACATGTACATTGGACATACAGCAGAGCTATTGCTCCAGGAGGATATTAAGGGGAGATTATTAATACATAACATAAGCAAAAACATGACAAATTACATCTGTGTGTGCATGTGGGTGTGTGTTTATGATATAAAGTGCAATGTGAGGGCATTGAGGGTGAGTGAGCCCTGTTTGTCTTCATGTAATCAGTCAACGGTGTTACTCAGATTCTTTTTCTTACTTGCATGAATGCATCTGTGCACATGCTGTGTGTGTGTGTATGTGTGACCCATTCTGTTTCCTGTTTACCAACGCCTGCACGAGCATATGAGAGGTTACACGACCAAACCAACCAACAAAGAGGAAACAGAATTAAGTGATTCAGGTCGCACTGAAAAATCTGCACGGGAGCAATTTTACATCCATCCCTTATTTATTTAGAATTTCCCCTCTGTGTGCTTTTTGTTGAAGGAGGGCATTTTTCTGACTCTTACATGACTTTAAAGAGCATCGTAAAGCAAAAAAAATAATAAAAAAAACAAGAAATAAAAGGCAAAAGAAGAGAAACCTTCACGTGAAAGGTGCCAAAGCAAACTGACATTCTTGACTTCGGAACCCAAAATCATCCCTTTCATCTTACCGGCTTGGCAATGATTATCCGAGTGTATCATCCTCGTAAACAAGGCAGACTTGTATTTCTGTTTCCCGCATTTGATGAGAGTCCAGCTTCTTTTCATCCAGAGCTATTCTACACTAGATGAGAGTCTTAAAAGGATTGTTGCGTCGTATCAGTAGCGTGTGTGCATACCCTGCCACTGGATGCTTCTCCACTTCAGATGAGGATATTTATGATGAGTTTTTAAACATAACGACAGCTTGATAAAGGTAAAGTAGGGTCTTTTTATCTTTAAGGGGGCGTGTTTAGAATAAGACCTCATTCCTGTGGCTGATTTTGGCGGGGCATGTGTAGACTAGATGGAATATATTTAAATACCCCATGTTTATATACATCAGAGTCCTCAGGTGTGGCTCTGGGACGTAGCTGGTTTGCATGTTCTGCTGCTGTAATGTCGTTCACGCTCGCAGTCTTAAACCTTTGGTTGCTGCGCTTTCTAGCATGACGGACACCTCAGTCTGTTAAAACAGTGTTTCTAACCAGATGAGTGAGCTTAAGTAACGTTGTCAACTCTGTTACATTTACATTACTCTATATTTGTTATAGTGGGGGGGGTATGTAAAGGATGAGGGTGCTGGGATGATGAGGGGTGTGAGCTGAGCAGGGAGGGAGGGGTTGGATGCAGAATTGAGAGAGGACACTAAATGTATCAGAAACCTTCAGTCTTTTTTTCAAAGGGGTGCTGCAGTCTGTGGTTTTTATTGCAGTCCAACGTCTCCATCAGCTCCTCAGCCAAAATTTGTGGCACTTTAATGATGCAAAAGTCCACACCCACGCTGTTTCCGGCTATGGCTGTCGTCCACAGGTAATTAATCTGTGGCACACACTTCTTGTTTTCGATTTGCCTCTCGATATTCTGCATCATCCTCCCTCATCCCTCCTTTTAGCAGAATGCACATGGGTGTAAAGCTCCAAAACTGAAATCCTGTATGTTTTCAAAATAACTGTGTTTGTGAATGCACCAGTCAAACGGAGGAGGATGCGGATGATGAGATTCCCGTTGCCTTCCAGACGTTTTGCTCTCAGTGATACGTTAAGTGAGTCCCTCCTCTCGCTCCTCTGTCTTCCTTCTTTTCCTCCTTTCCTCTGAATTTCTCCCCCCTCCCCTGCCTCTTTCAACCTCCACCTCCACTCTCCTCCTCTCCGGGATTTACATCACGCTGCATTTGCCCTTCAGTCTCTCGGCGCGGGACTGCTTCCCCGAGCGCTTGCCGTCGATGTTGAGGCTCATGTTCCTCTTCTTGTCCAGGTTGAGGAGCTCCTGGAAGAGCTCAGTAACATTGTGGTTGGTCTTGGCTGACGTCTCCATGAAGGCGCACTTCCACTGGTTGGCCTGGGCCTCCCCGTCCTTGGTCTCCACCTCCCGCTGGGTCTCATCGCTCTTGTTGCCCACAAGCATGATGGGGATGGCCTCAACGTTGCCCTTTATGGCCAAGACCTGCAGAGGAGGAGGGAAGTAAGGACAGTGCTTGTTATGTTCTGGCTGGTCAGCGCACATTATGAACCTTTCTAAAAATGTTGATCTGGTGGTTATCTGAAACCCAATCATTGCATCCAGAGAGAACATATCCCTAAATGATCAAGGGCTGAAAAAGGGGAGCTAGAAAAGCACTCGGGGCTGTAACCCCCAAACTGAGAGAGTGGCTCCAGCAGATTCCAGGTACAACATCTTTGGTCTCTGTCCAGAAGAGCGCAGTCCTAGGAACAGCTAAGGTACTGTGCAGAACCCTCAAACTCCAAGGCCTTTGGTAGAGGACCAGAGCTTGAGGAAAAAATTTCAAAGTCTAAAATTTACAATCCATTAATTTCTCTATTAGTGCAAATGGCACTAAATATGCCCAGGTTACTAAGCAAAGCAATGGGGAACAAATAAATAATAAAAATAATCACCACATATAAATTACAATTAATGCTAAACTAGGAAATGTGCAATAGTTAACAGTAGCACAGGTGGGGCACTCTAGGGTACCCAAATAGCTAAACTGACCATTCACATACAGAAAGTTTACCCATTCTGAGGTAACTTCATTAATTATGCTACAAGAAAAACAACTTCAAGTTGACATTTAGCTAGATAACGTTAGCTTGAGCCTCAAATCACCATCAATACAAACCTCCTCAGCTGGACAAGAGAGGGCAGCAGCTCCAGAGACAAAGTCAGCCAGCAGCTGCAGAAACTCAAATCCAGCCAGCACAAGACCCATCTTTGTGGGACTGGACAGCCCAACTTGCTGCCGGATCAGCAAACTTTCTGTTGCTGCTGTTACACAGGTTGGACCCGGCACTGCTAGCCACCAGCCTGCTGTGATGACAGGCACTTGAGGGTTTGCGCCGGCTGAATTCAAGACACTACTTTAGCAGTCCAAAGGTCTGTCTCGCGACTTGCTGCCCACTCTGCTCCTAGGGAAGAAGTCCACAGCAGCGGGGAGCAAGGTGAAGGGACAGTGGGGTGGCTAATGTCAGCTAGCTAATTTTTGTCTCATTTGTGGTCTGATATAAATCAATGTATGGGAAACACTGGGTTACTGTATGAAGTGCGAGGGAGCTTAGGACTGAGAGGGGAGAGCAGAGAACTGCAAAACGGAGGGTGTATTTTTATATTCTGCTGTTTGTTTTTGCCTTTCCAGATTTCTGCTTACACTAGCTTCAAATAAAACAAACTGCTGAATCTAGGCCTTTAGCAGGACATCAATGTAATAGATTTATCCTGTATTTCCATTCAGTATCTATTTATAATACACGTTAAGTTTACAGTGCACACTCACAGTCAACCCAGCCATCCACAAACACACATCATCACTCCCCACCTGTTGGTAAATGGGTTTGAGCTCCTCTAGGGACTGTTTGCTCGTGATGGAGTAGACCAGGATGAAGGCGTGGCCTTTAGAGATGGACAGACGCTGCATGGCAGGGAACTGGTGGCTCCCTGTGGTGTCGGTGATCTGTAGGGTGCACACGCTCTTATCGCAGCTGATCACCTGGCGGTAAGTGTCCTCAACAGTGGGGATGTAGGTGTCCCTGAAGGTGCCCTTCACGAAGCGCAGGACCAGGGAGCTCTTACCCACTCCCCCTGCCCCGAACACCACCACACGATAGTCGTTGCTCTGCTCCGGCATTCTGCCCCCCTCAGGCTTAAGACAGTGTTACACCTGTGATGTTGAGGGTGGGAGTATGAGGAGGGGGCAGGGCGAGATGGATTAGGAGTGGGGAGAAGAGGACAACTTTAGCAAAGAGGAATTTTAGCAAATAATTTAGCAAATGAACAGTCAGCAGATAACAAAACAGATGGAGGAGGGACAGGAAGGGGGTGTGTCGGTGGGACTCGACCTCAGGCCAGTGGGTGTATAAGCACTCGTGGTCTGACTATGAGCCAGAGTGCAAATTAGAGAGGATGAGGTTGGTGAGGCTCCAAGAGTTTCACCTGACGCAGGCATTTCCCTAATCAATACTGTTCGCAGAGTCACAGTTTCTCAGTTTCAACCCCAAAAACATTCCAGCGTTTCCTCATTTATCAACTTTAGCAACTGCAGCAAACCGTGGAAGAGACAGAGAGGCCTTGCAGCATGGGAGAAAAACAATAACAATGACATGAACTCATGTATAATACAACATAATCCAATACAACAAAAACTCAGCTTTAGAAATGACTTGAATCAGCACCGCTCGAACACAAAAACAGAGCATTATTAGCATCACAAAAGAAATAGATGGTGCAGGGCCTCTGTATTGGATTCCACTAGGTTGCATGTGAGCATGATAATGTGTACATATCTGACTGAACATCAACTAAAGGTAAAGCTCTGTCGTGCTCCTTTATGTGGGTCAAAGCACTGTGCTGCAAGCATAGTCTATTGTCAGAAATGTAAACACTAATTAAAGCTGATTTAATCAACATTTTCATATTAATAATGGATCAAATAACTATATAGATGTAAAAGTTATCCCTTCTAGTGACAAATGAACACAGAATTATCACAGACTCTGCAGCTCCATTTGGCTCTACATCATCTTTAGATGTCTTTTGGCTCATTGTGTTGGTGTTAGAGTCCACAGCTCCAGTGTTCTGGTTCAGTCACTCGGCTCTCAAAGCCTTTAGCAGCAGCAACAGGCAGCTGTTTTCAGGGAACAAGCTCTGACAAACAAACCGTACGTTACTTGCCCAGCACCAAACGGCAGACAAACAAAGTTAGCAACTAGCTGGTGAACATAGTGGAGCATTTAGCTGCTAAAGCGCCAGAAATTTCCCTCGGGAGCTGGTGGAGACCAAAACTGAGCTAAAATAAGCGTGACTACTGGACTTAAACTCACCAGTTGGCTGAGTCCAAACGAATGGTAATATTCTGTTGGATGTGTGAATGAGCAACTGTTTGCTAACAAGTTCACCAAATTTAAAGGTTTTAACATGTGAGCCATAGACTGTGTAAAATAATGGACGTAGCTACTGTGACATCACTCATGTGCTGAGACATGTATAGCTGCAGAAACATTCTATACGTAGCGTACACGACACACCTCTACCAAACCGTGCCCACCACCAGTACAAGACAAATCCACCACCACGATTGTGAATCCTGCTACAATACGACACTGTAGTGAACAAATATGAGGCCAAACACAGCAGTAATCCACTTTAGAAAACATAATACATGAGGACATGATTCACTTTATAAGTAACGAGATATTACCCTTCCCATTACCCCTACCCTGACCTCAACCACCTCTTTTTTATCCTAATACTTCATAACTAGCTAATCGCTAATTTAGCATTTTAGTAGGGACTTCCACTTCCAGGCCAACGGGCAAAGAGAGCTGATTGTAAACTGACTTGTAGGTTAAGGTGGACGGGTCACGTAGCTGCTTCAGCTGCAGTTACACATCTCACATTCGTTTTTGGACTGCTGTTTTGAAGCCTCTAGTTCGGCATTTCGGCCATTGCCAACTTGGTTATTGGGAGCCAGACGTGACCATATTTTGACAAGAGGTTGGAGCTGGGGAGGAGCAAGGGGTGGATCTGAATCACTGACTGCAGCAGTGTCTTGCAGACAGTCTGTCACTCAAGCAGCACTGCCCTTAAATATACATAACTTTAACTCAATAAAATGTGGTGAGTTATATAAATATTCACCCTCCGTACAGTTGTCATGAAGGTTGAAATTACCTTTAGAGACCGAAAATGTTGTTTGTACCAGACTTTAAATATGTATATTTCTCCTGTAAAGTTGGGCATTTTAACATTGGGGTCTATGGGGACTGACTTGATTTTGGAGCCAGCCTCAAGTGGCCATTCAAAGAACTGCAGTTTTCAATCAATTAGTACATGTTTAAAGTAAGTCATCTAGAAACCAGGTATGATTTATCATTTGTTTAAAACACCTGTTGCGCATATTTGGAGTTATCAGCGCAAAAACCACATAATGGCACAAAAAAACAACTAAGCAATAGCAGTAGACCTAGACCAACAACTCCTGTCTTCTGCAAGGAAAAATTACTACTTTGTCAAAGAAGTCAGGTGGCTTTGAAGGGAACATAGATGCATATAAAAACTTAAGTTCCCCGCCAGAAAGGGCTATCTGACGGCAAAGTAAAGCAGTGAAAATATATTAAATATTAGCCCCGTTTCCACCAAACAATTTTGGTATGGTACCTCTGGAACCAAAATGAACCCTTCAGACATGGTACCTAGACCCTAGCCCCCCACCTCGTTTATTGTCCACAGAACGAGGCTGCATGGCAACATTTACAGAACAATATATAACAGGCTGCAGTGAGAGTCTCTGTCCATGGGATATTTAAAAATAGCAGGTTTGTGCATTTAGTCCTTCTGAGGCAAGCTCAGGGGTTTAGTGTTGCCGGAGCCCACAGGAACAACACACGTTTTTTTTTCCCTCAGAGTAAGGATTAGAATGCAGTTCACATAATCTGACCGAAATTAATATATATTAACGCTTGAAGATCTACTCATTACTAAAAGTGTGTGTCATATAAAAACTAAAGTAATGGTAAAAGTTGTCACGGTGAAATTTAAGGTGTGCTTATGGATTCATGTCGTCAACTCATGCAGTAACATTACAAGTTAACATTCCACCTTAAAAGTTGCCGGCAGTCGGCCCAGTGAATTAAGTTATTTTTTTCCTCAGACTCCACCTGCTGCAAGAGGCAGTAAAACATCCTTTCATTTTATAGTCATAGTTTACTAATGTAAAACTCTCCACGGTATGAACAGTGGTTACATGAGACTCAAAACCAGCCACAACTCAGCCCTGAGCAGAGTGACCGTCCTCTATTGACCGATCAACAGACTGCAGTGTTCATAGCTCCACCTTTTAGTACCAGATCTGTGTGCTAGGTACCCCAACAGAGGGGGGACCAAAAATGGGGATTGTACAAAATGGTTCCATTGGTACCATCCACAACTTTTCACAGTGGAAACAGAAAAAAAAGTGTAGCAGAGGCACAAAAACTCATTTGGACGGGCATTTGTCCCCAACAAAGAATTTGGAAGCTACGATAAACCTGGTTTGCAGTCAGCAGCAACACCGCACATTGATGGACTCTACAAATCCTCTCTCTCAATATTACCTGCTGCAACTCATACATATGCATCCCAACAATGTCCTCACATCTAATCTATTGCTATCTTTGTAAGTGCTTGTGTGTCTGCCGAGTGTCTGTGCATCATTACACATTGTATCTGTTGCATTATTTAACCGCTGTGGTTCTAAACTTGCTTTAAGGTCCCATAATAAGATACTCATTCAGTTGTGATCATGTGCAGCTCTCTAAGCTCCAGCTGTAATGAAACAGTAAATTGACATCAATACCAGATGGAATAAGTGGATTTCTGTCATGCTTGCACTGCTGGAATCCACTATTGATGGCAGGGTCCCTGTAATTGCATTGCCAGGTTCTAGATAATATCAGTCAAGGAGTTCAAAATAAATGGGGATTCAGGGAGTGCCTCTTGGGTTTTATAGTCAATCTATAGCTGTACGTCTGGGTGACGTATACAAGTGTTTTATATCTATGCTGAACACACATCCACAGTTTAATTTGCAGATGAGCCTGTGTCTTCTGCTCAGACGCATGCAGAATGTTAACTGTTTTACTTTGGTCTGGCAAAGCAGAAAATCTTGTCTAATGGCTCTTTGGTTCCTCAGGGTGATGATACATGCTGCTTTTTTTAATACTGGAACGCTGTTAAAAATGCTGCTCGACTAGCATGATTAAAGCCTAAATTCTGAACTTTTCAGAAAGGTGTCAGTGACGTCACCGCTGCTTCTTCAGCAAGGCTACTGTCTACCACCAAAGACAGAGAAGCCCAGATCGGCTGGTGGACACCTCTGTTAATGTAGCATCACGTTAGCTACCTACAGTGCGTCTCAAATCGCATACTTCTGTTCTTAACACTTAATTGCGTTCATACTGCATAGCACGGGAAAATTAAAACGTTAAGTGTGGAATGATGGACACTTCTCGCCCTCAGCGGTCACCATCTGCTATGTCACAAATTTCTCAAATTTTGATATGCTGGCTGGAGACAACATGGAGCCTGAGCTGGCTACACTGAACATCGCCACGTTATTCAGATGTAAGGTAGACGTGTTTTTTGCCCTAAGTACCAATATTGTTTTGAATAGAGGCCCTCTAATGTTTGTTGGGTCTATAATGGTTTGCTTCCGCGAAAAATAATGGTGGTGCTAACTTTAGCATTCACTAGCTAGCTAACTTGCTCCTAGCTGCGGCAACACATTGTAATCAGCACCGACGTTGTGCCATAAATTTGGTTCGTGTGTGGGCGGAGATATTGGGCAAATGCTCCACTGTCTGTCTGTGAAATTAGCTGTTTAAAAAGAGGATGACGGAGAAGAAGGGGCGGCTAAAAAAGTCGTTGTCACTTCGGGTAAGTGCAAAATGGCAATGCATGATTTCAGACAACATTTCCCTGTTTAAATTAGTACACCATGCAATAAGTGTAGTGTACATAGTGTACTACACTGAAATGTACTAACTGAAGTATGTGTTTTGAGACAGACTTTTAGCTAATGTTAGCATCAAGATACAGTTGTCATTGAAACATACCCATGCAGAGCATGCAATTTAAAAAAACGCTGGGAGCGCTTTTTTTCTGAAGCGCTGGGATGAAGAACTG